TTTTTTTTTATTTTTTTTTGCTGTAAAACGTTCATTTAATTGCGAAAATATTGATTTATATACCTAATCTGTGGTATCTATTATTCAATCAATTGATATATTTATAAGTTTATTTAATATTTTTTATAATTTTTCTTAAACCGGCCAGCTACAGCACGAGCGTACCACGGGTCGGTGTATCTGAGCGGTAAGATCTACGTGATCGGCGGCTTTGACGGCACTGAGCAGTTCAGCAGTGTGCGCGTGTTTGACCCCGAGACACGTGCCTGGGCTGAGAGCGCGCCCATGCACCACAAGAGGTGTGTGAGAGAGAGAGAGAGAGAGAGAGAGAGAGAGAAGTGATAAAGAAACTGAGCTTGCTTCCATTATTTGTGTTTGTTATGTTTATTCAAGCTACTTATTTTCGTCAGTTGAACTGCATTCCAAAATTCCAAAAACCCGATCAGAATAATCGTCAAGTTGCATGCACAATTTGATTGCAAATAATTTTTTGTTTGTGTTATGTGAATGTAGTTCACTTTTCCAAGGTGTTACGTGAGTGTCGTGGTCTGTGAGGAGCTTATCTACGCCATGGGAGGTTATGACGGCCGTCATCGTATGAACACAGCAGAACGCTATAATCCCAAGTACAACCAGTGGTCCTTCATCTCCCCCATGCACCAACAGAGAAGTGATGCCTCGGCTGCCACCTTAGATGGTGAGAGATTGATACTTACAGACTTTGCTACATTAATGTGCTAATGACATTTTGTCAAAAACAAAACACATGTTAAATGAGTAAACGAAAAGATAATGAACAGCCCTTCATAGGTAGTCCCAACCATTTTCGGTTCTACTAATATATTGTTTAAGCAAATGTTCATCGTCAATTATATTTAGATATGTATTCATTAATCTTTTTGTTTATGTTAAAGGAAATGTATATATAGTCGGTGGGTTTAATGGAAATGAGTGCCTGAGTGCCGCGGAGTACTACACGCCAGCAACCAATCAGTGGACAGAAATCACGCCAATGCGGAACAGGCGAAGCGGAATTGGTAAGTTAGAGTAAAAACATCTTCGGTTCATCATGAAAAAAACAACATTATTTTGAAAAGTTAAACAGTCATGTTCATTATGCAATATACATTTTACCACCTGTCTTACTGACTTTCGTGCGATAATCCCGAGCAACATTAAACAGGACTGAGAACAGATTTCACATTGCTTGTTATTATTATTTTTATTATTATTATTATTATTATAAGGGATCACGGCATTCAGGGGCCACATCTACGCTATAGGTGGATTTAACGGCATAGTTCGCATGAATTCTGCAGAACGCTATGATCCTGTAAAAAAGACCTGGACGCCCATAGCTGAGATGATGACACCTAGGAGTAACTTTGCAGTTGAGGTGAGTGTCTCTCTCTCTCTCTCTCTCTCTCTCTCTCTCTCTGTCTCACACACACGCACACACACATACAGTTGTACCTAGCTTGTTTGAACTTTAATTCCTGTTCGGAGTACAAAATGCATTTTTTTGCCCCACACCCCCTTAATAAAATTCTGACCAGCATGTGCTTAGTTCTAACACATATGATTAAGTCAAACATAACCGGACGTGAATTACCATTCTCAAAAAGCGTTTTTTTTTTATACAAATAAAATATCAGTCAAACGAAAAACTATAAATAAAATAAATATCATCAGAAGTAAACAGAAGAAAAAGGTTAGGCGGTTTTATGACATCTTTCAGGTAATAGATGACCAGATATTTGCCATTGGTGGTTTTAATGGAATGACAACAGTGTTCTACGTTGAGTGTTATGACTACCTCGCCAATGATTGGTAAGTTATTTCTCAATCCGGCGCACAGTTTGGGCAACAGGCTGAGCTACTGACCTCAAGCTGACTTTGGAATCAATGCACGCTTGTTCTCGACTTAATTCAGTGCATAAAATAAGACGCAAATCTCTCGAAACCGAGAACTCTATTATATATAGAACTGTGAAGAGTCAAATACATAATAAGCATATACATGTGCAAAGTAATTTAGAGTATTTTCCCTTTTTCATTTTGTTTCCGCCATCATTTTCGATATTTTCCAAATTAACTTCTTCATATTATTGCTTTTCAGGTGGGACGCCACAGATATGAACATTCAACGCAGTGCTCTCAGCGCATGCGTGGTAGATGAACTTCCTAATGCGCAGGTCCGACAGTACCTGAGTAAAGAGCGGGAACATTTGTTGGATCCAGCGATTCCTCCAGCAGACGACACTCAGGTGGACTACATCCGGGAACAGGGCACGGCGTCGTCTGCTTTTTAGATGAAAATGAAGAAAAAAATGGACGCAATTGCATATTTCTTGAAACATATTTAAAAATAGCAAAGAGCACGCACATTTTTAATACTATAACATGGAAATTTGAAGAGTATTATTCCTGGTTAACAAAAGGTCAAAATATGATCACTGTTTATCACAATGTGCATATATGTATTTTATCACTGTTTTGTTCTATGAGGTCCTATTACAATGTTCTTGGTGAACGCGGTTATTATTTTAGTTCACGTTTATATTCTTTGTTCTAAATATACTCACCGACACATCTTCAAATTGTGTTAAATTCGACTTCACATTTCTCATTTTTTTATTACGTCAAGCTTTCCTGGTTGATTTATTTTGCACCCTTTATTAAATAGAATAGTTTCTTTAAATTAAGGGATAACAACTGTTCGAAAGCTATCCACAATTCCTAATAAATACACTGTAAACAACTCATAGGAACATCACATATTCTATTTTACATCAAAAACGGCAGTTATAGGTATTATCCTGATATTTGAGCTTGTCTTGAGACCACGTGACCTGCATAGATGGCTATACTTTTAAGAAAAATTCCAAGGCCTAACTTTGAATGTAGAACCGAGGGAAAAGTGTTGTTTTCCCCAGGAAAATTATTTTTAGTGGCCAAGTTGAATAGTTGTTATCCCATTGATAGAAACGTACAACTAAAAGTAAAAGACTTATGCTTTAAAAAAATTAACGGAAATATTGAAAAAGCTAAAGATGGATATAGTCATATATGACGTAAGTTGCAATTCACTTAAAACTTAAAAGGGGAATGGAGGTCGCATTTGGTACCACTGGTTTGATTTTTTTAAGGTCAAAAATTAAAACTTAAAAAATATTATTATTAAGTGATAATTGTATATTGGAATTTTATTTATTTCGAGCTAGAAAACAATTTTCACTCACTGGCGAGTTTCCAACAGGCGAACAGCGGTCACGTGCACACACACACACACACAAACGCAAATACGCACATGCACAAAGACTATTCTCAGAGAAATGTTTGCGAGCAAAAGAGAGGTCAAAGGGGCCATTGGTACGAACTATATTTATATGAATTACCAGAGGCAAACTTTTTTTAGTTTTTACCACAAATCAATTCATTAAAGACTTGAACTGAACGCCAGGGGGCTTCCAAAGGCTTCGGACCTCCCGATTACTAAGCAAATTCAGACCGCTTTATATATGTTTCTCAGAAAAGATTTCCAGGAAAATGGTTTGCATGCGTCATAGTTGCTTAGAATATCCTGCCTTTTAGATAAGACGATGTTTAACATTTCAACAAAACTAGTAAACGGTAACATAGGAAGATCTCGCAGCGTGTTAACGATTAATGATTATTCTGATAATTTCAACCAGAGGCACACTTGAGATCGTTTCACGTTAATTTCATTTTATTCTCACACTATCTATGTTTTCCGTGTAAGCCGTGAAGGGGGAAGGATTGTTACATTTGCAAAGGAAGGAGATCAAATTTCTTACCTGGAGTCGAGGCGGATATATTTTTAGCTCTCTCTCTCTCTCTTTTTCTCTCTCTCTCTCTCACGTAGAACATGCGCAGGGCTGGGGCTGATATCATTAACGATTTTAGCCTGAAAACTGGTTTAAGGTTTTAGACCTATATATGAGCTAGGGCTTTTTCGTTGAAAGTATAAAAAGTGAATATCGCAATTTCTGAAAAAAAAGGAAACATTTCGAAAATGAAACGCTGAGCAATTAAAAAAATGCCTGAAATCCAGAATCGATGCATTAGCATCAAGCATACTTTAACTGAATTTTGGGAAAATAGTTTTTACATTTGCTTTGACATTTCCAGTACGATATAATTTTTTTTAAATAGTCCATTGATTCACCCACAGGGAACAGGTTGGACTTTGCTGGCGTCCTATACCTATTGACTCCACTGTAACAACATCTGATCTCTTTATTTTGACCATGTAACATTATTCAGGTCCAAACACACATGCAAACACACATTTCCCGAACAGATTATTCTCAGATAAATATTCTGGAGCAAAAGAGAGGTCAAAGGGGCCATTGGTACGAACTATATTTATATGAATTACCAGAGGCAAACTTTTTTTTAGTTTTTACCACAAATCAATTCATTAAAGACTTGAACTGAACGCCAGGGGGCTTCCAAAGGCTTCGGACCTCCCGATTACTAATAAAATTCAAACCGCTTTATATACGTTCCTCTGACAAGATTTCCAGGAAAATGGTTTTCAGGCGTCATACCTGCTTAGAATATCTTCCCTTTTGAATAAGACGAGGTTTAACATTTCAAAAAAACTAGTAAACGACAACATAGGAAGATCTTGCATCGTGTTAACAATTAATGATTATTCTAATAATTTCAACCAGAGGCACAATTGAGATCGTTTCAAGTTAATTTCATTTCATTCACACTCTACCTGTGTTTTCCATGTAAGCTGCGAAGGGGGAAGGATTGCTACCTTTGCAAAGGAAGGGATCATATTCCTTACCTGGAGTCGAGGCAGATATTTTTAGCTCTCACTTTCTCTCTCTCTCACGTTGAGCATGCGCAGGGCTGGGGCTGATTTCATCAACGGTTTTTAGCCTGAAAACTGGTTTTATGTTTTAGACCTATATATGAGCTAGGGCTTTTTCGTTGAAAGTATAAAAAGTGAATATTGCAATTTCTGAAAAAAAAAATGGAAATATTTCGAAAATGAAGTGCTGAGCAATTAAAAGAAATGCCTGAAATCCAGAATCGATGCATTAGCATCAAGCATTCTTTAACTGAATTTTGGAAAACGAGTTTTTTTCATTTGCTTTGACATTTTCAGTACGATATAAAATTTTAAAGTAGTCCATTGATACACCGCCAAGGAACAAGGTTGACTTTGCTGGCGTCCTATAGTTATTGACACCACCGTATACTCTGCTGAACTCCTTATGCCGACTATGTGACATTATTCAGGTACAAACAAACATGCAAAAAAATCATTTCTCGAACAGATTATTCTCAGATAAATATTCGCGAGCAAAAGAGAGGTCAAAGGGGCCATTGGTACGAACTATATTTATATGAATTACCAGAGGCAAACCTTTTTTTAGTTTTTACCACAAATCAATTCATTAAAGACTTAAACTGAACGCCAGGGGGCTTCCAATGGCTTCGGACCTCCCGATCACTAAGAACATTCAAACCGCTTTATATACGTTCCTCTGACAAGATTTCCAGGAAAATGGTTTGCATGCGTCCTAGTTGATTAGAATATCCTCCCTTTTGGATAAGACGAGGTTTAACATTTCAACAAAACTAGTAAACGACAACATAGGAAGATCTCGCAGCGTGTTAACGATTAATGATTATTCTGATAAATTCAACCAGAGGCACACTTGAGATCGTTTCACGTTAATTTCATTTTATTCTCACACTATCTATGTTTTCCGTGTAAGCCGTGAAGGGGGAAGGAATGTTACTCTTGCAAAGAAAGAAGATCATATTTCTTACCTGGAGTCGAGGCGGATATATTTTTAGCTCCCTCTCTCTCTTTTTCTCTCTCTCTCTCTCTCTCTCACGTAGAACATGCGCAGGGCTGGGGCTGATTTCATCAACGGTTTTTAGCCTGAAAACTGGTTTAAGGTTTTAGACCTATATATGAGCTAGGGCTTTTTCGTTGAAAGTATAAAAAGTGAATATTGCAATTTCTGAAAAAAAAGGAAATATTTCGAAAATGAAGTGCTGAGCAATTAAAAAAATGCCTGAAATCCAGAATCGATGCATTAGCATCAAGCATTCTTTAACTGAATTTTGGGAAAAGAGTTTTTACATTTGCTTTGACATTTCCAGTACGATATAATTTTTTAAAATAGTCCATTGATACACTCTCTGGGAACAAGATGGATTTTGCTTGCGTCCTGTACTCCACCGCAACATCAGCTGATCTCTTTATGTTGACCATGTAACATTATTCAGGTACAAACAAACATGCAAAAACACATTTCTCGAACAGTTTATTCTCAGAAAAATATTCGCAAGCAAAAGAGAGGTCAAAGGGGCCATTGGTACGAACTATATTTATATGAATTACCAGAGGCACACTTTTTTAGTTTTTACCACAAATCAATTCATTAAAGACTTAAACTGAACGCCAGGGGGCTTCCAATGGCTTCGGACCTCCCGATTACTAAGATAATTCAAACCGCTTTATATATGTTCCTCTGATAAGATTTCCAGGAAAATGGTTTTCAGGCGTCATAGTTGCTTAGAATATCTTCCCTTTTAGATAAGACGAGGTTTAACATTTCAATGAAACTAGTAAACGGTAACATAGGAAGATCTTGCATCGTGTTAACGATTAATGATTATTCTAATAATTTCAACCAGAGGCACAATTGAAATCGTTTCAAGTTAATTTCATTTCATTCACACTCTACCTGTGTTTTCCATGTAAGCTGCGAAGGGGGAAGGAATGTTACTCTTGCAAAGGAAGGAGATCATATTTCTTACCTGGAGTCGAGGCAGATATTTTTAGTTCTCCCTTTCTCTCTCACGTAGAGCATGCGCACTACCTGTGTTTTCCATGTAAGCCGCAAAGGGGGGAAACATTGTTACTCTTGCAAAGAAAGAAGATCGTATTTCTTACCTGGAGTCGAGGCGGATATATTTTAAGCTCTCTCTCTCTCTCTCTCTCTCTCTCAAACATGCACTGGGACTCCTTTCAAAAATTTTTAGCATTAACTGGTTTAGACCAAAATCTGAGCTAGGGGATTTGGGTTGAAAGCAAAAATGTGTACACCATTTCTGAAAAAAAAATGTAAATATTTCGAAAATGACTCGCTGACTCGCTAAGGAATTTGCAAAACAATTCCCAGATTCCAGAATCTATGTACCTGCAACAAGCATTCTATAACTTATATTTGGAAAACATAATTGTTTTATATATATTTTCAAAAATGTTTAGCACAATTGTTGAACTTTTTTCTTTTTTTCTCATCTCTTTTTTTCTGTACAGTTATAATATCCATAACCAACTCGCATGATGCCTACATAGTTGTAGATCTATTCCACGCATATATTCATGTGCTTGATAACTTCCTACTGGTCGTATTACACAATGTACTTTGTTTTCCTAAGTAAATTCTCCCCCCGCCCCTCCCCCCACCCACCCTTTCCTGCTGTAACTTCTTCGTTCCACCAAACGCTACGATGCACTTAAATGTGCTAACTAGGAAGGGGAGCATTTTTGGCAGACTTACACATTCTCACTCGCACACACGCACGGACACACAAACGCACATTGGGATTGAGAGAGAGAGAGAGAGAAATAGAGAAATAGACAGGCGAGAGAAAAAGTGTGAGAGGAGGATCGAGAGAGAGAGAGAAAGTGAGAGATAGGGATCGAGAGAGAGAAATAATAATAATAATAATAATAATAATAATATTTATTTCTTAAAACCGCACTACACTAGCGTCTCAGTGCTGTTTACAGGTAAAATTATTAGGATTACAACTTATTATATATATAATAAAAGCTAAGGTAAAACAATTAAAATAATTAAAACTGGTTAAAATAGTAATGGTCTGAATAATAAAACTTTTTTTCTGATAAAATGAGAAGATATTAATTAAAATGCTGTGCAAATAAGAATGTTTTTAAATCTTTTTTAAAAACCTCAACACTGTCAATAGTCCGAATGTGTTAGGGTAATTGATTCCATAAAATTGATAAATAGACGATTCAGAGAGAGAAAAAGTGAGTGAGAAGGATCGAGAGAAAGAAACATTGGGAAGGGAGGCATACACCGCACCACCTGCCCGCTGTTCATACAATAACAACAATAGCTGAACTATAAGCTTATCCCGTGCTTGTATTCACCAGAAATAAACACGACCTTAAGCTATACACCTTTCGTATTAGGCCTTACAACGTCTTTGTTCATTTGCAAACCAGGTAGCTGTAAATTTATTCGCTTACTTTGTCGTCTCGATCACAGTGGACCAGGAGTAAATAGATCTAAATAAGCACTGCGACATGTAGGCACACGTCTTGCTTGGTTTAATTTTTTGTTCGTTTGAAAAAAGAAAAATGCTGTTCATTTTCTCACAGCAATAAGTTTCACCTGAGTTACAGACAAAGTGACGCTGATTGGAGTTTGTTATTAATTTCATTTCATTTGTGCTCTATTCTCATCACATATGCATCTTCCCAATGAATGTTGTACGGTAGTATTCTCTTCTAGATAGAGCAAATATACGACCCTACATATCATATAGTTACGTACTACAAGACCCTGGACAAGTATAATACACTTCTAGTATTGCTAAGGTCTGTTATGGCATCCACGTAGCAACAGCGAGCTATTGGCCTATATGCACTCTCTGCTTTCATTGTTGTACTTCTTGTATTGAATATTTGACGCCTTTTGTTATATACGCACTTCAGTGAGGTGAGGTGAAATCAATACAAGGCAGTTTTCACGTCAATAACCCGAAAGGGTCGGCCTCTACATAGGTCTGTGCCCAGCCTGGGAGGGAAAGACGCCAAGATGGCCATGAAACATTTCTACAACGACTTCAGTGAAAACTTTTTAACTTGTCATATATGTCTGGAGGAATATAAAGACCCGAGAGTGCTCCCCTGTTACCACACGTTCTGCCTGGAATGTATTGCTGACCATGCAGCCAAGAATGGTGTCCAGAACAAGTTCTCCTGTCCCGTGTGTCGCCAGCAGATTCCCGTACCTCCAGGTGGGTTTACCACCCTCGTGAAAGATTTCTTCTTAAGAAAAGTAACCGACTTCGTGAAAGGCCAAGCAGCGTCAGGGGGGACACTTTGTGAGTATTGCAACCATAAAAAGGCCAGTTTATTATGTCAGGGCTGCCCAGAAACCAACCACCTGTGTGCACCGTGCCGCGAATTACACGACAAAATACCCTCGTGCAAGGGCCACGAGTTTGCCCCTCTACCAAATGCTGAAATTCCATTAAATCTAACCAGCATACGAGAACAGTTATGTCAAGTAATAGGTAACACTCAATACTGTGACAAACACAGGAGAGAACCGCTGGCGTTCTATTGTCAAGACGACGACACTGTCATGTGCAGGTTTTGTGAAGAAGGTCACAGCAAACACCATGTCAAGATGTTAGATACTGTGGTGCAGGCCCATAGGGAGCTAATACAAGAAAAGTTGAAATGTCTCCCACCTGAGAAATTGTCTCGTTTTGATAAAGCGGTAGAGGCTTTAACACGAATCCAAGAGAGGCTTACAGAAAATCAGGCAGAGGTTATGCGTTTGGTGGAATCACAGAAATTAGCTATGACACAGGATATTAATGAAAACAATAAAACTATTGAACGAGAACTCAGTGATTATTATCAGCAAGTTGAGAAAGATGCCAGGACTCAGAAGGGGGGGAACTTGGCAAATGTCAAACAGCATTTGGAAACTTACCGAACAAAAGTAGAGTCTGATTACACCAAATTGAAAGGCAATGTAGAAAACATAAGCAAGGCAATATTGGCAGAAGTTAAGGCACTCACCTCCTCCCAGGTGAAAACTTTAGAAGCTGAAAAAGACAAACAAGAAACCAACAAGATTTTCATACAAAGTGTCCAATATTTTGCTCAGCAACTTATAGACTCCGGCTCTAACATCGACGTCATGACCCACTCTAAGAAACTCCAGACTAGAATCCAAGAGTTAGAGACATTAGAACCACTCATTGCCATCATGACCACCGACGTGACGTTTACGCCAGGAAAAACAAAAATGGACCACGTGCTACAGTTTCCTAAAATTCCTGAACCACAGCTGTCCATCAAAACGGGGTCCATTACGGCCAAAACATACCACGGTCCATTGGGTACGTATTTTGGAAGTTTGAAACAAGTGATAGCGTACCCTTTTGAATTGGAGCAGTTTCAGAAAGCCACGTGGCTACAATGGGCGAAGCTGAGCCATCGTTTTCGTGCCAAGGGTTGGCTGGGAGACATACAGTGCACAGAGGACGGGTGCATTATAGCTGCATATGGCATTGCAGCGTCCGTGTTCTCCAACACAGGTGATTGCCACTGCGACTTCGACACAGAGGAATGGGTCAAGTGTATCACTACAGTCAGCAACGATAAATTCGTGGGCACAGCGAGAGATAAATTCTGCAGGTTGTATTCAACATCAGGTCGGGTTATCAAATGTTTTGGTCAGTACGAAATGTCTGAACCCGGGGGTGTCACGGTGGACCGTACAGAGGGTAAGATTTACATATGTGATGAAAGTGCACAGTCCATGTGTGTGTACGACTTGAAATCGTTTAAACTTGTCAACAGAATTCCTATCCCAATGTGCAGTAAAGGTTCGCTGCGCTGTGCATACCACCACGGCATCAATGCAATCATAGTCAGCGACTACAGTGCCCACTGTGTGTATGCAGTGACACCCCAGGGTGACGTCATGTTCCAATACGGAGCACGAGGTCAGAGTGGAAGTGGAGACGGGCAACTAAATTATCCTAGAGGAGTGTGCTTAGATAAGTTTGGACACATTTTCATAGCTGACAGGGGGAATAACAGAGTAGTTGTCCTCGGCACAGACGGAAGATTTCTGCGCAATATTCAAATATTTAGCAGAGACATTCTGGAGCCCAAGTGCGTCGCTATTAATAACAACGGAGAGCTCGTTATTGGAAATGAACAGAGTGATTTATTAACGTATAAGTATATAGAATTGAAATGACATAGGAGCTAACTCCGTGATAATTTTTGTCACCAACAACAATGAGGACAATATAATGGGACACCCGACTAACGAGCTTCGAACTACTTGGGGTGACAATGATTGTTTCAGCCAGCTGTCTCAACCAGCGAAATTGGCCGTTCCAGAAAGTCGTCTCCACTGTCACAATGCATCGTCCCAGCCAGCATTTCTGCTAACTTGCAACTTCTAAAAATGTGACTGACCATGGTACCTTAGCAATATTGTAAAAACATGCACTTACAATCGCTGTTAGGACACAGCTAGCTCGGTATTACACCTGTATAACAAACACTAAAAAAAAACGGTTCTGGTTTTTCTAAATGTAAATTGCAGCTTAAATACTTAGAAAACCAATTCCTTGAACTGCAAACCAGATATATGGAAATGTTAACAGATTTGAAAACATGTTTTATTTATGAAATATTTAACTGTCATTCAGTAGATGTAACATTATATTTTTCTAAAAACATTAAAATTTTTAATTCAAAATATATTGTTATTAATGGGTTTTAATGTCTGAATGGTTTTGTGTAAATGGCACTGAGATACATGTGCAGTGAGATTCTTAAAGGAAATTATTTATCATTGTTATAATACTACCATCAATACCGGAAAAGCAGTCGGAGAACGCATAACTTCGCAAATAAAACTGTTTTTTTAACTGATAATTAATCATTGTTTAATAAATAGATCATAACCTAAATCTAATCACTTCAATGGTAGACCATTTCTGGCCTAAACTGCTAATTCCATCAAAATACATGAATAACTTCTTGAGAAGAGACAAACAAATGAACAAACAGAGGTGAAAACATAACTTTCTTGGCGGAGGTATCTATCCTGCATACTTGTAGAGATGTTAACAGGAGGGAGGCATCACACTGGTGGAAGACTGGCAGTGTAACATGAACGTGTCTCCAAGTTTCAAATAATTGGTTGTGAATTCCTGTTTTATTTATTTATCCCGGCCCGTAGCCAGGGGTGGGGGTGAAAGAACCCCTTTTCGCCAGGAAAAGGTCCTTTCTGGGCAAACATTTATCTAGGCATATGAAGTATTCATTACAAAAAGATCCACATGTTCAGAAAAATAACCCGGAGCCCCTTTTGCTGGCTACAGGCTTGTATACTGTATGTTTTTATATACCGAGGTACCTGTCTCCAATGATTGGCTGCCAATACCTGTTTTATTAGCCATATATTTTTAAAATAACCTGATATGTTCAGTACCAGACATAGATGATTTAAAAAGTATCGCTGGCATTTCTGAAGAAGGCAAGCACTACCCAGCAGTTACAGCGTCAAGGGCGGCAGACGACTACAGGCTCTGGTTTGTAAATTTCACTATTCGACCTCACACTACACTAACAGTGGTTATGAAACCGCTGAAAAACAGGAGGACGACGATAAACCGAGTGGACAAATCCACAAAAAACACCCCGTAGAACATACATTGTAAGTCAACGCTAGCCAAGTCACGCCACGCCGTGCGCTTCCGTGTCTGACCTTTGACCTGGACTATAGGTCTATCACGTGATATCAGTGTGGCTGGCAGCAGTAATTGCGCCGTTAGAGTGCCATTAAGGGGAGTTAGTCTTCTTTATTAAGCGAATTACTTTTTTAATGCGTCAAATGTCGTTGAAATATTATGAGTTAATAGCGTGACACGAAGAAGATATATATACATTCCACTAATACGTGCAAACCACTTTAACAAGTGGAATCAAATGCCTAAGCTTTAAGCAACGACACCTTTTTGACCAGATAGGCCTTTATGTTTATTCAATAAAACGGCTACAGGATAGTGTTAACGTGATACACATTTTTTGAAGATTGTTTGATGCCAAAATTGCAGATCAATGTTTGAAAGGTCTTTTTTTTTTTTTTTTTTTGACGAAACAGGTGGAAAAACAAGTTGGAATATTAGGTATCTAGAGAACTGAACGATATTCACATTTCAATCGATAAGGTTTACTTCTCAATTTAAAGACATTTTTCATTCAACTGTTACTGAGATTCATGAAAGGGAATATGTTGAATTGCTGTGGGGGCATTGCGTTGTCAAGGCACACCTAAGACACAATTAAAATAGACTACAGTTGGTTGTTTGAATCCAAACCATGTCGTCCATTAACACCACTAATAAAACTGAACACGTGTTCACAAACCTCAGCCGACCCATTTGCCCGTCTCTCCCGTTTTCAAGTACACAAAAGTGACTCGTTAATGCAGCTATGAGTGTCGATTGTGTTTTAGGCTGCGTTTACATTGAAATGATCGTATTAGGTAGTTAGAACTAACTCCAGAGGGACTCTCGATGCTTGACCATCTGGACAGGGGTTGACCACCCCTTTGACCAAGAAAAAAAACTCATATGTCTGTGGCAATGTCCCTTCATTTTCACCAAAACCAGGTGTTAATGAACACGACTTCTCGTCAGCCTGAAGTGGTCCACGTATTATTTCATTCAGGTAATAATTATTCTAGTGACCGTGTGTACAAACTAAAAGTCGCCAACCAAATAAGCCAACGGATAATTAACTTTATTACCCTAACACGGCCACGTACTTTTGTCAAAACCGTCACGAACGTGGCTTTATTGACCAGCAGTGACCGCCCCTGTTGTCCAGCTCATCATGACAACGTGACCACAGCCAAATGACCATTAGCCTCATAGGAACATACACGCTTGGCACTGGATACGTGTTCTTCGCTTAATGAAGCAATTTACACCTTCCTTGGACAGAATTGGGAAACATTTATAAAGTACTTAGCCCCGCTGTCGACGCGTTATTATAAATTTGCAAACATACAGCAATTTTTATATCTGAATTTTGGAGCCATTTTAATGCCCCTGGCGGTGAAGGATCTGAATGTCAAGGATGGAAAAATGGATTATTTCGGGGGTTTTGGGGGACGTTTCTTGTTGTGTATCGACTTTCTTTTTGAAACAGGTGTGCAGCTTAACCCTAAGGTTGGAGGAGAGAGAGAGAGAGAGCGAGAGAGAGAGGGAGGGAGGGAGTCGTAAAACTCGTTTAAATAATATTGCACTGCTGATTGTGAATACACAATGAAATAGAACAACCGACAACAACATGAATAATGACTATAATAACAACAACAAAAACAACAATAAAAATAGTAATACTAAAAAGTTTTAACTTTTTCAACTTCACCCAAGAAACTCATTTCTGATGTGTGTATTTGCCAGATGAACGACAAACAAAACACAGTGTGTGTATTATGTGTGTTTTATGTGTGTATGTATCATGATCACATTTCTTCTTTACATTGGCCAAAACAATAGCATAGTAATTACACTTAGAAAAAAAAAATGATATTGTTTTTAAACAGATCACTACAAAGTGACTCTCTGGGTGAGTGCATATTGAACATCATTCCAATCATAAAAAGGAAATAATTCACGCAATGATATACACACACCGTCCCGTGACTGAGCCACCGGAACTGAAGAAAGAGAAAATGTCTGGTTGTATTCTAATAACGTCCTGATATTGTTGTACATGTATAGATCATAGAGAATCGTGAAAGTTGTTAACTGTGCTATGTTGATGAATAAAATAACTATAGCACTTCCACTTCCACTGACTGCTACATCAGCTTCATATAAAGAACCACTCACAACACGTGTGGTAGAATTGCCGCCAGGTAAAGCTTTATTTCAAATACTGGGATAACGCTTGCAAACACGGAGATCTCTATACGTTGAATTTAGAAATGGGTTAAATACACTACAACGCATTAATTTCAGCGGCACATATTACGTTTATATGACTGTATATACAGCGCAGAATTAACGCGCATGTTGATGTTTTGCCGCGGGACAAACTTCAACTCAGTTTCTCGGGTAACGGCTAAACAATAGTTTGAGTAACGGAACTCGACCTTGGGAACAACCTTAACAAGTCTATATTTCTTTACCAGGCACATGATATAGCGGTAAATGTCACATGCCGCCCCATGATACTTCCACCATGGACTAGGATCAGACACAGCGTTCACACCGCCCGGTGTTGATCCACTGTTTTCAACCCACCCTCGGACCATAGGGAACCTTGGTGAACACACTGAAGCACTCGGATCGACTCCAATCTGTGATCAACGGGCGCATTGTGAACTGGCCCTCACCTCATATGAAACCGCCGCCACCGGAACTCGAACAGCGCGTTCCATTCAACAATAAAAAAGTTTACGATTGCTTCAAAGGCTGATTGATATTCAACCTCTTCGCTTCCGAAATTTTTAAACAGCTATGTGTGCCAGGCCCTCAGAGTAATTAATTCATTGGTCGTGTATCTGGAATATAATAGACCATTATCTCTGCCACGGCCACAGTGAGACGCAGGAGCTAAAGGACACAGAAAGAGGGAGATAGTGAGAGAGTGAGAGACGAAGAACACAATGGCTGGCAAACATGTCCTTCTCGTAGCGCTCCAAGTTGTATTGTTTTCTGACTGTGTCAATTCGCAGGCGGTTCCTCTTCCAGGCCAGCGACTACCAATAAGTGAGTACAGAATTATGTTCTTTTTTTTATATACCCAGAAGAACATTCAGTAGTAAAAAATTATTATCTGAATCCTTATCAGCCTTTTTGTTTCTGCTCAATATATTACACATATATAACCTTTAAAATCCATTTTTGCTCTTGAAGTCTAATCATAAAAAATGAAAAATCCGTGATCAGTTTTCACGACTGCTTTATCCACGGGATGTGTTTAAAGAAGCTCAGTTCGGGTTTTGAAAGGAGAATAATATGAACGCCCTTTTTATTTCATTTGTACTTCTGCCGTAAGGAACTCGCACACCTTATAAACGGGTTGGTCCGGTTCATTAGCATCTGATTAGAAATTCAGGGTTAAGAACGCCATAAGGCATCTCCAGTCATTAAAATATGTTAAAGACGTTTTACTTTGTTTTTAATTAGCTGTCGTATATGTTTCTGTTGTCAGGCGGGTGAAAAAGTTGTACTACACGTACAACTATACTGCAAGGAATTGATGGAATATAACTACAAACTGCAAAATACTTCACTTATTCTTTTATTAGCTTATGAAGAATAAAAAGCACATAAAACAGCAAGACACCTACAGATTTAAATATCATAGTTTCTTAAATTGCTTTAAATTGGCTTCTATTGACAACAGCCCTATTGATAATAGTATTATTGACCAACTTCTTCCCTTTTCCCTATCCATAATATGTCAAAATATTAATGAATAAAATAAAAAGATAAAATAAAATAAAGATGAAAACACACTAACCTTACTTAGATGTCCATAAGATATAAGACACACAGAGTGCGTTCGTCCCGCATGTTACAAAAAACGATTTATTGTCCAGAAAAAACAATGTCAGGAAATATCCCTTTGTCACCATAATTAATCCAAACCGTTTATAAAACCAAGATATAGAAGACTCCGCTTTCCAGCTGTAAAAATCCATTTTGAGTTTGAATTTATCTATTTGCACGGGCACAAGTGAAGGGCAGCAGTCTCCTCCATTTTTTTTTTTTTTTTCAAGACTGACCTAGAACTCATAATCTTTTAATAAATTGTAGTTCTGTGTCCTGTTCTGTTCTGTGATTGAGTGAATGATGTTGGACTTTTGAGGAAAGCAATGTTTTGCTATGTAAGGGACATGGGCTCAACCTGCGGTTCGTCCGATCGTTAAGGTTAATATTGATACCAAGCACAGGACCTTCCGCCAATTTTACCGATGACTTTCTGCCATTGTAGTACTCTAAATATCTTGACTGCCAAATATTAAGTTCTCACCATGAACACTGCCAAACGAATATCTCCTGTACGTCCTCAGTGCGTTCATCATTTTAACACAGTTCACTAATCAAAATTCTTCAAATCAACGTACTGTACAAGAGAAAACCCTCCTTTCACTGTCTTTAGTTATTTGTTATTTTGAAACTGTGATGACGTATTCAATGATAGGGAAGGCTTCCTGAAGAGCTCTGTTGATATCTAGATTTGTATTATTTGAAGTTAAGTAAACGTTTACAAGTCTGGGGATATTGTGATATATAAAGGAAGGATGTGTTAAATACTTGATGTCCTCTGCATTTCGTCTGGCCACCTTAATTGTGAAAAGAGTGAGGTATGACCTGTGAAATTAGCGCTTCTCAAATATTTATAGTAATAAGAAATTAAATATATTTACTGGGGGGTTTTCTAGGAATTTAATGTTTTAATTATGTATCAAAACATGTCACTTTATTGAAGTCTTCGGCGTACCGACAAAATACCCCATGCATCAACCACGGTTCGGCTGTACGTGTCACCTCATTTGTAGAATAAGCTCAAGTATTCGTCCAGTAATTCTGCCTACATGGTATGTGCTACATGGTTACAATGTAGACAAATCTATAGTATCCCCCGAGGCAGATATGATATAGTCAGCAACACTTCCATCCGCCACCACCATACACCCTACCGGAAAACTGAGATTCCAAACCCCAAAGCGATTTTTGCCAAACTAACAATGGATTTTGCTGTTTGCTTGGTATGAATGTTTTTCTGTTAGCGCATATTAATTGCCTGCTACATGCCGTTCACTGAGGGCATAAAGACATAAAAGGGAGGAAGTCGGCTTTCCCTCTGGTCAATATGGAAATGCACGTTGCGTGTGCGCACAGCGCGTCGTTTTTATCATTTTATCCACAGCAAACATTATTTGCATAGAATTGTGTTGTCTGCTGAATTCTATAGCTTCAGTCGATTTACTATTGTATTGATGAGAGATTTTCATTTTTTTCTAAATTTTGTAGACATCTTTTTACAATTAAGAGATGGTTAGTCCTGTCTGTTGCATACGGACCAAAACCGCTCAATTTTTCTTTAATTCATGATCAACGAACGGCGACGTCACACTTCTTAGCCTGCAATTAAATACTGAATAAACAAGATGCCATTAAAGGGATAACAACTGTTCGTATGGGATCCATATTTCACAATTAATACATTGTAAACAAGTCATAGACTGGGTTCCAGGTCTGGCTCGATCTAACAGGATCATACCAACACCATGGCGTTTTCTCGCTAAATTGCTTTCAGCCTAAGCGGCTTAGATGTCTGCTTCGCACATGACCTCCGTAGGTGGCTATCCTCTGTGATGATCTCTTTTCAGAAAACACACACACACTCACACACACACACACACACACACACACACAGGAACTATCTTTGAATGTCGAAACTGATTCGTTAACCAATAATATGCATTGAAAATCGTCATTTACCCCAGGAAAATCCTTTTTTTTTACCAAAATGAACAGTTTTGTCTCTTTAAAGCCGCGCATGTATAGAACAGGTGAACCACAGGCATGAATTGAAATCAATATAAAACCGAATAAGGTGTGTCCGACGTTGCTCCAAGAATTACAACGGGACTGTCACGACTACATCAGGGTTAATTGCACTCTCTTTACAAAAAATATTGAATACATGTATAAAATACAGAGTCAGGCTGAGGATGGGTTTGTTAAATTTTTTAACAACACTGTGTTTTCCCTCCCGCATTTATGACCAAGCACTATGAATATGTGCGACCTTGATCCAACTTTGAAAATAACCTTTTTCCATATGTACGCCCGGTTTAAGATTCGAACTGATAGGAACTCCAAGGAGATTTGCTAGTGTCACTTGTTCAATTTTTATACCATCAGTGTTGGGACTATCAGGAACGAGTAGATGTTTTTCTAAACCAAGTAAACAGTTCAACGTTTTTGAGGATTAATTGGTATGCTTTTCTGCTTTCTACACGTACGTTAAGCGGTGGGTTTGCTCCCGGTTTTGCTGTTTGTAGTTTGAAAAACAAATTGAGAGGGGAGTATACATGTACACGATCATTGTTTTCCATTTCAGCCAACGGTTTCCTTTTAACGCAGACAAATGCCTTCGGTCCAAGAGTAGCTAATGGTGTGCCAGTGGGGAGACCAATCCCTGGCATTAACGATGAAAGAGAATGTTTAGCAGCCTGCATCCAGGACGGCACGTGCGCCGCTGTGGACTTCTTCCGGGCCACCACCACGTGCATCATCCAGTCGTCGACCACTATTTGCGTCCCGCCGAGCGTCGGGACTGCTGTCACCGTCTACACTAAGTTCCCGTGCGGTGAGTTAACCTTATGGCAATAATAGCAACCATATTTCATTTATAAAATTTAGTGAAAATTTCCCTCTTTCTCTAGTATAATGACGACAAAGGATAAAGCGTTCTAAAAAAATGTGAACGCGTTTTTCACCTATAAGAAATGGCCGAAACGCCATGCTTCAAAGATACTCCATGTCGCATAGACTCTTTTATCATTAATAATGCTTATTTCATGTTTTGATAATTAATTTGCTTTTGAAAACAGAGCTTTGAAAAAAATGACCAGTTGTATCAATGCTGTTTCCCGAATCGTACATGTATGTACATACACAGTTCAGTCTCATGGCACAACGGTGCAAAAATCAACATATATTAATTAATCAACACTACTCACGTATTCTGAAATATGCTTTTGTTCCCGGTCACCAGGCTTTGACGTCGTGTCCAGGAACGCGCACGTGCCAGGCGGCACCATGCAGCCGAATTTCAGCGGCACGGCTCTCCAGTGTTTACAGCTGTGCCTTAGCAACCCTCAGTGTCGGGCCGCTGACTACAACCAGGACGGGTCTTGCTGGCTCCACGGGGAAGACACGGCCTGCAACGCGCTGGTCAAGAAACCGAACTGCGACCACTACGTGCGAGTGGGAGCGTGTATAGTTGCAGGTGAGTTGAGTGTGCTAGGTGTTCTCCACAGTGTGTTAGTTGTGCCATATGAATTGTGTTCTACCCTGCTGTAGTACTATGCAGTGTGTCACATAACGCTTTATTGACGTCCGATCACATACGCTCCACCTCCTAGCTGGCTGAATACAGAATTACCAGACACGATACGTAAGATGTGAAAACTATGGTGACCCAATTTTTTCGGAGTTCTTTTGCACCTTGATTGTTCTGGTGTGACGGGAAAGGTAAACCTCCAGGAACCGTATGCGTTCTCCATCACTTTAATTTGTGGCACTCATCCTATCTGCTAACCCCAATACTTTGACTGACCGTAACCTGCAGTGATCATATGCGACCCCGGCCTTTCATCCGCAGGACTATCATTCCTATTACTCCGGTGCTTGGCTGTACTTTGAACTTGCTATCATATCATCGTCAGTGTTAAATATTGACTCGGGCGCCATACATGTACTTTGTCCCTAATTCCATGTCGTCTTCATTGGGACCAGTTCAACAAACGGCCATGTATTCAACACTTAGTCCAACGTACAGTTCCACTGGTTTTCAACACGTTGCTTCCATGATCGTTTTAGTCCTAGCATCCCCCCCCCCAGGCCTTTGTGCTCCACCCACTAACTGATTATCAAATAAAATCTTAGTACAAATATCAACGCCACTGTTATTTCAGATACGCCACCTAGGGACTTCGCCTCGGTCAGCCGTAACACTGCTATCCAAGGTGGGGTGCTCCAGCGAGGTCTTCACGAGCCCCGTCAGTGCCTCCTCTACTGCCAGGTGAACGACAACTGCCGTGCTTACGACTTCAACTTCAGGGACCGGACCTGCTTCCACCACGACCAGAACACCGTCTGTAATACCCGGATGTCAGTGCAGCAGGTGATCCACGTGACCAAGTGCACGAGCTGCGCGGGAGGACAGTGCATGCTGCGTGAGTATTTGGGAGAAAGAGGGGGTGAAGTTGTGACGTGATGTCCAGTGAGACTTAACGAAGACCAGTCCCTTAGCCAGGGGGTGGTTGGGGGGGGGGCTTGAAAGAACCACATTTTATTCCAGAGAAAGGTCCATTTTTGGTAAAATATGCTCTAGGTTCACAAAGGTTTCATTGCAAAATGTCCACTTTTTTAAAGAAAGAACCCTCCTTTTTGATATTGCTGGCTGCGGGCTTGAAGACGTTCATGGTACCTACAGAATGCTGAAAGTGCTTGGTTCGGGAGATAACGATATCCAGAGAGAGAGGAGCCTGGTTCAATGGCGGATAGCTCACACCGCATTATTTGAAATGTTGAATGAAGTCTTACGGCTAGCCTGGTTTACACTTTTGGTTTACACTTTTACACCTGGTATACACTTTTCAACTTCCATCAAAGAAATACAGTATCCGTTTTCATTTTCTTGTAGTACAAACACCAACGCCATCAACGGCACCAACAACATCCAATACGGTCGCCCCGACAGCAGGGGCAGTGACGAACCCTCCCTTTATCATCGCCTCTGGGTCTGGGATGTCAGGTGAGTATACATGCACACAGTATCCGCGTGATTGGGACGCGCATGAAGAGTGGGAAATATCCCAAAAATCTGTAAAAGCTGCTTTCTAACTCCAATCCTCCTGAAGTCGATGGTCGTTTCAGAATATTACTTCGACACAAACTATCACTCTCATATTAAACTTTGAGTCTATTGTGACGAAAGTTAAATCACTAGTTGATCAGTCACGTATGTGGCGCCTGTTTTATAACAAAATGATATAGGGATAGGTTTTAAACCAATCCTTACCTTATCCAAGCCGACTGCTGTTGCTTTATCTTGGACAAAAAGGCGAACTTACCGCATGTAAAATTAAGACCAATTCCTGGTCTCAGTTCTTTTTCTCTGTTTTGTAACTCGTGTTTCTCCCTTGGTGTCCAATGTAACATATGTCTTCAACTCTTCCTTTTCATTTCTCAGTAACTCAAGGCGTTCACATAATCGGTGGAATCCTGCAGCCAACAATCCGAAACTTCACAATGTGTGCGACCACGTGCCTCAGTTTCTCTGTTGAAAGTTGCCCAGGCTTCGACTTCAACGCCGCCCAGCGGGCGTGCTTCTTCCACACCAACACCACCATCTGTAACGACCTGGTGGCCAAGCCGTCCTGCACTAACTACCGGAGGGTACCCTGTGGATCGGGTGAGATGTTCAAACTGAAAGACATTCCTAAGACTGGAAGAGGAATTGTAGGGTTGATCTTGATACTGTTACGGTTTTCTTTTGTCCGTCCATGTTAAACCAATGGTAATACTGTATGAGTTACTGTTTCTAATAAGATGCCCGGTTTTAAATCATTTCTGTATGTGATGGCGGGTTCGAGCTCACTTATGATGCATATTCACTCGATGTATTAATGATTTCTCAGTGTTTTCGTTGTTATTCCAGGCAGCGGAGGGACGGGACAAGGCTGTAAGTATGATTTGATTTCAACAGAACCTGATTATTAAAAAGATTTTCCCACTAGGACCGATTTTTTATATCATTGTCGCATTGATAATCAAGAGCATTGTCCGGCCTTTTCGTTTTCTTCAAACCCACCTTTTATATACTTTGCTCTATTCTAACCGTAATACAAAGGAAACCGCTGGTGAAATTATCAATCAAAATAACTACTTTATTATAAACACACACTGGACAATAGAAGTGTCACCCCCTGAGTCAAAGTAATCAAAGTTATTAACCTGAAGAGGTGGGAAATAAGCAATGTCAGAATATCGTTACAGTTGAATTGTTCAGTCAGAACCGTTTCTTTTATGAAATTTGATGTCAATTAAATGATACCAGGAACATATCATTCCACAGTCATTTATCTCCCCCAAAGTGTTGGTTCAGTAGGGGTGACACTTCTATTGTCTAGTGTGTGTACACGAAGATAAATGTAAAAATGTGAAATAAATTTTGTTATTATTTTTAATATATCTACATGTATTAATTCCTAAAATTCTTAAATGCACGACCTAAAATGTCTGTTTACTTTGCATTATCAGTGAGAGGTGCTCTCGATGGCTAGCGTTGTCGTTTCATCTGTAGGACTGCAATGACTATTTGTATTACATATACATCTGTTTATTTATCACATTCTCCCTGTCAATTTTCCCAGTCACCCAGAACGTCCACATTATCGGCGGCGTCCTGCAACCCTTACTTCGTGATCTTGCCTCCTGTATGGCCATGTGCTCCCAACTGTCCCTGGAGAGTTGTGGCGGCTTTGACTACAGCAGTGACCAGCGTGCCTGCTTCTTCCACACTAACCGCACCATCTGCAACAACTTGGTGCCCAAGGTGAGGGTGCTGATAGCTTAGAACACATTCAGAACAGCGGAAATATGGTTGACCCACTTGAATGCTTGTTGCGTAATCCCTGTCTGTGTTTAAGGCCACACTTTTTTTATGGTGACATCCTGCGCGCGCACCGATTTTCGTCCGTTCTCCGAAAAAAATCACCTTTCTACGAAGTATTCACAATGCTTGTGTGGTAAATTTGTGTTTCCCACTGTGTACTGACAGCATCCCTTTACTTAAGCAGTATTTTTCTTTTTTGGACTGTTTTTTTTTCGCCCTCTTGCACCGATTTCGGGGTCCCCAGAGGATATCATCCATAAAAATAAAAAAGTGTGGCCTAATCGGAAATTAAGCGACAAGCTTTTCAGTTGGTCGCCATATTTGATCCGCGGATCTGTTAGTCCTCTGTTCTCAATGCGCTCTTAAAGGGATTGATACTGCTTTAAAATGTCGTGAATGTGACGACTTCCAACGTGCACTTGGTGTATGACGGTTAAGAATGTTTCGACAGCAGAGACGCTGCGTGCTGTGAATCTCGTAGATGTCAGGCCCTTGCATGTCACAACAGTAAGACTATTCATGTTAGTGAAATTTTCAGTGTATACGACTTCCTGAAACCCAAGGCTCTGTGGGGGCATTGGGTTAAATATTGGAGACAAAATATGAGAATATTAATCTACCAGAGCAAGACGAGAACGGACTTGGATAAAAGAACCCAAAATGAATGCCTCCACGGTCAGGAATGTTCAACATAGATTTAATACCACTTATACTATATGCAAATGTCTCCATTCAAAACATTTTCCATTAAAAATCATATCTATTTAATAGCCAAACTGCGTCAACTTCCGCCGTCAGTCGTGCAGTGCAGACACGATGACTACGATGACTACGATGCCTACCACTGAGACCCCGAACACCGCCGTGTCCATGCCCACACCCCCCTCCTTCCCAAACGGTAAGACAGCCTTCTGTGCGTGGAAGGAATAGTGTGAACTGTATTTCTAGATAGTTGAAGACCAGGCCTACCCAACTACCAGACTCAGCACTTAAGGATCCTGAATTAACCGGTATATCGGACCACACTACCCGTTTTCAAGGTATGTGTCAGATCGCATTTGGGAGTATCAGTCAGAACACCGACAGGATGAGCCCACGGTCGTCCTACAAAATTTGTTCAGGGGTATGATACTTCGAAATGCGTAGAAACGCCTTGAAACGGGTAGGTGGCCCGATATACCGGTTAATTCAGGATCCTTATGTGCCGAGTCTGGTAGTTGGGTAGGCCTGAAGACCACCGCTTTCAATTTCTACTCTAAGCAGGTGTGGCAGGAAGGGAAGTTCTAGGAATGGACGTCTGGGGTCCCATTTGATAAGTACAGGTTTGGGTTGTTCGGAGTATTGGGGTTAGAATATGGGACGAATGTCACCTGTACAAAGTAATAGGGAACGAACTACGGTTCCTAGCTGACTACCATTCCTGTCACACCTGGAAAAGTAATATAAAGGGACATGACAATGTTGTACTTTATTAATTAGATTTTTTTTATATAATACAGTGATAGGTAATAGACGTTGAAGTGTTGTGTGCAAAGACTTTTTTCTAATTCAGCCTTTACTGTAATAACGTATGCTGAGTACTCTCTATTGACAGTAATTTTTAAATATTTTGAAATAAATTTTTAGATTTAAAAATGTGGTAAGCGTTGTGACAGAGGTCATGGTGCCTTTGAATTTCTAAAGTAGTGATGCAGAGTATATTGAGTTTCACATATCCCGCAGACTACAATGCAAATTTAGCTTAATCAAGACATTTTTCTTTATTTCAGGAATCATACAAGGTAAGAGGTTTTTGAGTTTTGCTGATAGAATATGGAAAAGTTCCGTTATTTGAAAGACAATACTAGGACCGCCATTCGCCTCTGTTTTGGATGTTTGAAGACGAAACGCATTTCCAATCGCTTGTGGTATTTTACCTTAAACCAACATTTGCTGACGAGGGCCAGCTACGTGCAACGGTGCCGCCTCTTTCTGAAGGTGTCGGTTCCTGAACCCCAATGACATATATGCAAACTAACGCGTGTCGTGGTTATAGACGACATCAGTCCTATACAATGAACGTATCGCGGATATTACTGTCTCCGGAGTCAATGTTGTCACAGGTTTTATCACCTGTATGTTCGAATACGTCTCCTTGTTGTGAAACGGCCGCGTTTGCTGACCCTGAAATTACCACTCTTCTCATTTGGGATTCTCAATTTGTTTTTTACCGTTTTAATTTTGAAATTACGTTGCTATTTGAGTCGATGTTCACTTGCTTTGGTTGGGACAAATATTTTCAATCGTTTTACGATCGCAACTTTAAGAACTGATTTAAGGTAATTGGTGTTGATGATTTGAGGGGGCGTGTGTTTTTTTCTATGTGGTATTTCTCTCATCAGTCACAAGAACTGGGTATATTTGGATTGTCACAGAATAAGTTAACACCGGATTCACAAAGGGTTCGCATTTTTATTTTGGTGAAAGATTCAAATCAAAGTTTTGTTATGTCAAGTTTTGGAAATGTCGTACAATTTTAGTCGTGTGGGGGTATTTCATAGTTTTATATACTCGGGGCGTCGTTCTCAATGTTGATTTTATGTTTTATTTATAGATTGATTGAAGGATGTTTTATTCATTTATGCCTTCTGTTACTTTGCTTTTATGTACTTTATTTTATGCAGCAAGCAATGGTTATCACATAAATGGCGGCGTCTTGATCCAAGGCATCAGTGACGCTGCCACGTGCGCGGCCCGCTGTGTGGCCCTCCCCCTCTCCCTCTGCCAGGCCATTGACTTCAACAGCCGGACGTCCAGGTGTTACTTCCACTCCCCCCGGACAGCCTGTAACACCCTGCTAGCCAAGGCCCACTGTGTCAACTACAGGCGGGTCAGGTGTACAGGTGAGGCACGCCTTATTTACCTGTCTGTTCAAATGTTATATCAGGGTAGTACGTGACGTCATGCTGACGTCACATCAATAATTAAGGTAAACGGTTCTGACTATTAATGATATTGTCTCCTTTTGTCACAGCGACCATTTGTGTTTGTGTGCTTCAGTGGGGGCCTTATCTATGACCCCATTCCCAGAGATTAGATCGATCCAACTAGACCGACCTAACTCCCTGGGGGTTCACGCTAAATAGCTGTCAGGCGAGCGGGCACGAAAGTTAATTACCCCCTTGCAGTAGGCGGGACGGACATTTAAGCCGGATTATCTGACAGTAATCTAGTGAGACTCCCCACGGGGATAGATCGATCTAAAATCTATGGGAATGCTCCCTAAACGGTCGCAGTTATCATGACGTAAAAAGATAAAGGTATTTTAATTGTAACACACACACCGTCTAATATCTGAAATATATTAGGATTTTTTTGCTGTTGCTGATGATAATTGTTGCTGTACTTACTTCAGGATCCTACCAAGCACCTCACCAACCCACCTACAGCCATCGAGTCCACCACGCCCCCGCCAAGCCAGTGCACCACGCCCCCGCCAAGCCAGTCTACCATCCGGTGGTCATTCATCTACCTGTCCAAAAAACCTACGATGAGAAACAGACCCCAAGCGTGGCTCCCCCGCACCAAACCTATCACCAGTCTGTCCCTGCCGTACAACAGGCCCCACAGCCACAGCCACAGCCACAGCCACAGGTCCCAGCCCCGGCGCCTGCGCAGTCGGTGCAGACAGCTGGTATGCGTTGATATTTTAATTTGATCGATATTTCTATGAAAAAAACTCGAGATTGGTCCATCCGTTGTAATTTGTGTTCTTTTCGGAGATTATTGAATGTAAGTAATGGCGTTGTAGTAGCACATAAATGTCAACTCTTGACTTTTCAAATTTGTTCGCGGCAGCTGCATTAAACAAAATCAACAATACAGCCTACCTCTTTTCATTCCATGGAAGTCATAATCCCATTATTAACGAAAAAGAAAAAGGAGAGTGCAGATGTTAGAACAGACGTGAGACTCCTAGAATATTACATTGAACAGGAATAAGCTCTGATATATTTTCAGAAAATTTGAAAAATGATTTCGTATCTAAAAGCGTGTTGTTAAAAGGCCATGCTGGTGGCAATCCTGTCAATGAGCTTTGTGTTTTTCTCATCTAGGTAGTTGCCCGCGTTGCCAGACTGTAGGACAGTTCTCTCCGGGACCCAATCAGAATCAGTTCTGTGTGTGTGGTGCGGGACTGCTGTCAAATTTGATGACGTGTGCCTCGGGGACGGAATGGTGCCAGCGCGTCGTCACCTGCGTTCACGCTGGATCCTGCGGCGGAGCTTAAGTCTAACTTCTTCAATTTTACCTGACTGCGTACTGATATAGCAGTGAACAATTAATTTTTCCAAGTTATTTTTATACGTTTCCAACCACCACCATTATTAAATCACTTTAATTTTTTTTAATGTGCAAATATTTAGTTCAGTCCTCAGCTATGGACAATGCAGTAGATATGTTGAGAGTGATAGGCCAATTTAATGCAGACCTACGCGTGAGAACTTGTTTCTAGTTTAACGCCGAGATGGAGAAGTTATTTAGATTAGATGACAGAATTTGCTCCCAACGGAGAATTATTATAGTATGTCACTCGCTACTGTGCTTTTACAATCCTCCAATACAATACCTCAGAATTAAAGTGAATTATAAATGTATAATCAACTGGTAATGGGTTCATTTGGATTATTATATAATTGTACACTCGAAATCCATGTTACGTGTTTTTGAGAGCTGAAGATGGTTCATTGAAGAATTGTTTTAACTTATCAGTAAAACAACGGCAACATCAGTTAGACAAGAGGCTGTAATATCATTTATACTGTTATCCTTTGCCTTACTGTACATCTTAGAACAGATTTAATTTTGAGTATGCAAATACTGATTTTTTTACAGACAAATTGCTCGTTTATTTTCTGCAAACATTAAATTCGTAACAGGTTGAAAAAATGGAACAAAAGTCGGCTTGTGACTTAAGAAATGGGAAATAAGCTTACAAAGGTATGAAGTAATTAAATAAAACCCATTTCAGCGGTTGTTTTCTATGTGTTTTTCCTTCTTGAAAATATTTAATACGGTATTTGGAGGTTACCAGTAGCAAACCTGTTGTAAATGTTCGGTGTCTTATTATCAGACCTGCACATGCGCACTGTCATAGTATGTAGCTTAAGGCGTGTAGTTAAGGTGTGGGGCTTGATACTCAGAAAATGCCTTCTAAGGCTAGCTACTTGTGTGATAGCATTTATTTTGTGTTTTGAACATTTTAAATACTGCCTTAAGTTCAGTTCGTTTGTCAGTGGGTTACTATAAGTGGTACTATAAAATCCCATTCCCAGAGATTGGATCGATCCAACTAGATCGACCTAACTCCCTGGGGGTTCACGCTAAATAGCTGTCAGCCGAGCGGGCACGAAAGTTAATTACCTCCTTACAGCTTGTAGTAGACGGGACGGACATTTAAGCCGGATTATCTGACAGTAATCTAGTGAGACTCCCCACGGGGATAGATTGATCTAAAATCTATGGGAATGCGCCCTAAGAGTCAGGCTCCATCCTTGAAGAACATAAATAATAGACAAAATCAGAGTTGTGAGATGGTAGAGTTTTTTTTTCTGTTTGGTTGCCGTTTACTTCAATTTTTGTTTATCTACGTTATGGCTTCTTTGTGACGAGAAGAAAGAAGTGCGGCAAAGGATATTTTATGTTACAACTCATTATTTCAAAAAAAAAAAAACATTGATTTTTTATGGGTAACGGCGGTGGTAACAAGCAATTTGTGTCTGGCAGAGGTTAGAAAGGAACTGGTAAGTTAATACTTTATTACTTTCTTTTTTTTATTCTTTTTACGTTTCTGTATTACAAATATCCTGCGTAGAGCTTTTGCAATCTTGAACTGCTAGTTAGACTGCGAAACCGTGGGTGAGGTATTTTGGTATTGGTATGTAAAAAATATTTGTAAACTTACAATATGTGTGCAACATATTAAGCTACGATCTCATTTCTTTCAGTCAATCCTATGAGTCAAATCCTGGGTGGAGTCTTAGTGGACAATGCAAATAACGTGAGCACGTGTAACCTCATCTGTCAGCTGACCTCTGTCCACGGGTGCGCAGCCTTTGACTTCAACCACATGACCCGCAGGTGTTTTCTTCACGGTTACAGAACTGCCTGCAATACCATACTGCGCAATGAGAACGTGACACATTATAGGCGCCAGCTATGCCGTAAGTAAAGACCTGTACTAATAAGTTATATAGGCCCCAGATGGTGTTTTATGCTCGTGGATGAGGCGTTGATCAGACTGCAGATAACCCAGTCTGCGGCTTATCCTTTGTTATTGTAGACTTATTATGACACACGCTGACGCAATTTAGACGTTAACTGTGTGTTTAAGACCAAGGTAAACGACCAACAGACCTTTTATTAATTTATATATCCGAGGAAGTTAAATTTCTTTAACCATTAAAATGTTTACGACGTTGATCTACCAGTAAAATTGAAATCGACACTCTTTAAAGTTGGACTTAGTTATCTTAATTCAATCATTTCAGCAAAACATCCAAACAAAGTTACGAAAGCAGCCACTACCCGCCACACTTATCCCCCGACAACCACAACTACAACCACAACTACAACCAAGGCACCTCGCACCTATCCCACAATGCACCACGGCTATAACATGGAAACTTTACCCACCACGGCCTCCGAGCCTACTAGACCCACTTCACCAAGCACTTATCAAACCCATCCAACAGTGCCGCACACGTATCCAACAGCTCCGCCATCAACCTCTCCCACAATGCCTCACACCTATCCCACAATGCCTCCAACCTATCCCACAATGCCCCCAACCTATCCTGGCCCGGATGCCAGCCCAGAACCTACGCCCAAGCACCCGATTTACGCCAGACCCATGCCCGGAATGCAAGAAATGCCAGACATGCCAAAAGCCGAAGAGGGCTACCCAATGCCAATGATGCCAAACATGCCACAAATGCCTAACATGCCAGACATGCCTCAAAGACCAGGTAAGATTTGTTTTTGAACACATTTCCAGCAGGTCTGGTTCATTTACATAAAGCAGAAGCAGCGTAAATGATGATAACACAAGTAAACATGTTTACATGAAAGAACATTTACAGTCAAATTTTGAGAATACGACATACAAATATGAGATTGAGGTGTGAAAAATTCTACGTGAAACTTGCAGTCGGCTGCTGTCCGATGAAGTACGTACACATTTACGTAGCCACAGGTGGCGGGATATTTCAATTATATAACCATACACTCTATGTCTCTATTTCTTCTTCTTTCGAAATATTATTTTTCAGACCATTTTAAGACTACCGTGCTTCAAATACCGTGTAATATCCGGTCAAAAAGTCTCAGCTCATCCTCATTTATTGTTTAACCATTTCGTTTTAGTTCACGTGTTCCCTATCCATTATCACTTCCCGATGATGATGATGAAAACGGAGGCAACCACCACCATGAAACCAACTACAATGTCCACCACACAACCTACCACAACTACAACAAGACCAACCATGAAGACCTACCCTCCACCTACCATGAAAACCTATCCTCCACCAACCATGAAAACCTACCCTCCACCATCCATGAAAACCTATCCTCCACCAACCATGAAAACCTACCCTCCACCAACCATGAAAACCTATCCTCAACCTTCCACTTCCCATATGACATACCCGCAACCTACAACAAGCTCAACCATGAGAACCTACCCTCAACCATCCACCACCACCACAATGATGACGTACTCTGAACATATGCCGACAGCTCCTGCAGGTAAGGAAGCATTTCAGGAATAATTTTTGCTTTTGTTGAACATAATACACGTCTTCACAGTATTGCAACTGAAATAAAAGGGCGTGATAAAACCGCTAACGCTCCTATTACTCCAAAATAAATGAATAAATAAATAAATAAATAAATAAATAAAACCCCAAAATGTGTTGTGTTTTAGAACCATTTTCACTAACGTATTTTCTTTTGTTAATTGTTTCGATTCCGTCCACCTTCCTCTGAAAATAACACGTGTGCAGTGGGCACTTTTTGAAGACCAAAATTATACAGAAATAATACAGAAATAATTTAATATATTTCAATACAGTTCATACAGCAATTCAGAGCATGAAAATGTTCTAGATAGTCACTTCTGTGTATCTAAACATTACCTTACTTCAAATTGCTGACGGTGTATACTTTTGCTTCTTGTGACCTTTAAAGATGCTGAAAAGTATATTCAAATATTTTCTTTAACATATTAATGTACACAAGCGGACAGGTAGCTAATATTTTGCATATCTGTAAAAGCGACTGTTATGTTTTTATGTCGACAGGTACTTGCGGCTCATGCTCCCAGCCTGGGCAATACATGGCGGCGTCCAACCCTAACCAGTTCTGTCTGTGTGACGGCAGCCGCCTGGCCCACTTGATGACCTGTGCCTCGGGGACCGAGTGGTGCCAAGTCAAACTCACGTGCGATTTCCCAGGATCCTGCTCGAGCGGAGCAGTCCATAATGGTAACAATGGGCAGACGCAGACGACAAAGAAGACCAAAAGATATTAAATGACGTATTGAAATAAAGTGGATGGAATTATCAATAATCCGTGGGGAAAAAAGGCTAAAACTTGCTTTTTTTCTCTCGTTTTCACACACTTTGCTGTCAAAGGAGAGAAAATAAATTACAAAGAAGATCAAATAAAATATATTTCCTTCACTTGAGACATGAACGAGGACTACATCCTTCACTTAAGGAGAGTTTACGTGAAGTGTAGTTATGGACTACGGATGGTAAGGGAATCAGGACATTAACATTTTATAGATAGCTTGTGTCCCATGTTCAGAGAAATGACTCCTTGTATATCAGTTGTCAAAGGATTGTCTGATTCGTTCCAAAAATTAGGGTTTATTCTTTTTCCTTTTTTTATTTTAAATGGAGTGCAAGTGGACCGTCTTCCAGGTACTAATGCGCTTGATGGGTCCAGACCAAACAAAGTGCAATAGATCCATTACTTATTAACGTCTTGGAAGCTATAAAGAACTGATTTTATCAGGACGTTAGCAAACAAATTGAAAGAGTTAATTACAATTGCACGCATGGCAATATAATATAATTATATTAGGCTCTCAAAGGCATGTGATCGATATATGTTACCGAAGCTTATGAACCATTTATGCCTAGTTTATTTTTTGTTTGGGCAAGGGGTTTATTGAAATCATCACTGTACCCAATTAAGAATATGTCTGAAGGATACTATTATTTGTTATCCGTTATCCGGTGCTGCGTTTCTGTCGCCATGGCACCGTATGTAAACAAGCTGATCTTGCAAAGAGATGCGTGGTCTTTAATTAACCTTGACCTTGAAAACGGACTTACTCTCTTTTTTTTCCTATGTCGTGTATGTATTCTGGAACTTTGGTATGTGCATATGTAGTTAATTAATATTCCAATGTGAAATACATGGGTTTGGTGTCTCATATACATATATACGTAGGGTTAGAGGGGAAACGGTCAATGCAAATCCAGCTAGATGGAATGTAGAAAACATTTATTTGTTAAAAATAAACTATACATAATCGAAAATTAAAGCCAGTGACAATTGTATTAATGTTATTGTCCATTTGTTACATTAGTCATTTATTGTTTACTGTATATAATCCCCGTTACTTCAATTTCCCCACCAATCTACTTGAATTATATGCTCCTGATTGTGTACAATGTTTTTTTTACGGATTAAGGTGAATGCATCACTGAATTTAGGAAAATTAGAAGTTATAGTAATACAGAATAGCTAGCTTACTTTGGGTCATTTTCGTTGGTACTCATGCTAATTATGTTTTACTGTAACACCTTTCAATAGCTTATGATATCAGTTTTTGGATATGAAAAAAAATGCTGGCCACATGAAAGGCCTTTGGGAATTTTTTTGGTATTTGGTCATTGTCAAAGAGATTATTTCAACGCAGTTCCCTATCACTCGTCTTGGTCTTATTAAAGATCATTATACATGACATACCCTGGTATTGATAAACGCTAAAAACAAAGCGTCCCTTAATTTGGCAGGGCGCATTGTCCAGTGAAATGGACGCCTTTTCTGCCGTAATGTGCAACGTGCATGCCCACACAGCGCTTGGTTTACCATTTGGATGACCAAATATCCTAAAATCTTACTATGAAGAATGCAAAGTCCACAATACACATTAATCCCATATGCTAGTTTTTTTTAAGAAAATTTGATAAAATATATATACACTGCATTGCCAGAGCACCTTAACAATACAAAATTTCAAGTGTACAAAAAAATCTTATAATCAGAAGGCACTTTTTCAATTTTTTTAAAACGGAAACGGAAACTTAAAAGTTGAAATTTGCTGTAACTTATAACAAACTTTTATAGACATCACTGAGCATGCATTTGAGTTTATCAACGTAAGGTCCAGTTGATATTACAAGATTTTAATTACAAAAAAAAACTCAAGTCATGTTATCACAAGGGCAGTAGGAGTACATTTTAATTGAACCAGTAGTTTATAAGCATGCATTTCTCTGCCCATGATGTATTCTTCAAATCATCAACACAGAAATTCCCCTTTTGTGCAGTGGACGTGGTGTGATGTGGTCGTGAAATGTCCCAGTAAGTCTTGTGGCGCTCTCTGGTCAGATTTTTTTCGCACAAAAATAACCTAAAGATCAAAAGTATTAGTACACCGATTTCATACATTTTGGTGCAACCAGTATTCATGACATGTAACTTAACTTCTGTAAAAGCAAAGAAACAGAGTATTAACAGGAAAGGGACCACAGGATCATTTTTATCTTTTTTTCTACTGAATTCTGTTCACTCAAACCCAGCACACTTTCCTTCTCTGCCAAAGGTCTCCTTACCTCGTGTCCATAGGTTTCCGTTACTTCTTCTCGTTCATGTTGTGGTTGATATGATCATCAATGATATCACCAGCGCCACCTAGGACATCAGGTTCTTCAGAACTCTGCTCCTCGCTCTCACTGCGTTCATCTTTCTCTACCTACCACCACAGAAATGTTTAAAGATCAAATATCAAAAGGTCAACTTTACAATGTTTTTGAAGACAACTCTACATCATGAGCAATACTTTCTAAGCAAATCTAAATTAACTGCCTAAATAATGTCAATTAACAAAATGACAACTTTATAACTTAAACTATGTGTAACATATTAAATAACTTAAAACAGATGCAGTAAAAAAAAACATCATAGAAAACTTAACTTTTTTTAGCTAGATGAAATTTATTTCAGATTTGTATTTGGGTTCATTTTCAATTCCAGACTGTCAAAAATAGTCAATAACCTGTGGATTGTGTGCTACTGTTTTCTGTTGCGAGAATTTGTCATTGGTGTGTGTGTGTGTGTGTGTGTGTGTGTGTGTGTGTGTGTACGAATGCTTTAAGAAAAGACTGGAAGGGAGAGGGGTGGGGTGGGGAAATGGGGGGACTGCTGTACTGCAAGCTCTTTTTTTTTACATCCTGGGCAAATGAAAAATATATATAAAGAAAAGATAAAGAAATGGTAATAGCCAACAAGAATTGTGACTGTTTCAATGAAGTAACACCCATATACATTTTAAAAATCATAACACTTNGATTTCATACATTTTGGTGCAACCAATATTCATGACATGTAACTTAATTTCTGTAAAAGCAAAGAAACAGAGTATTAACAGGAAAGGGACCACAGGATCATTTTTATCTTTTTTTCTACTGAATTCTGTTCACTCAAACCCAGCACACTTTCCTTCTCTGCCAAAGGTCTCCTTACCTCGTGTCCATAGGTTTCCGTTACTTCTTCTCGTTCATGTTGTGGTTGATATGATCATCAATGACATCACCAGCGCCACCTAGGACATCAGGTTCTTCAGAACTCTGCTCCTCGCTCTCACTGCGTTCATCTTTCTCTACCTACCACCACAGAAATGTTTAAAGATCAAATATCAAAAGGTCAACTTTACAATGTTTTTGAAGACAACTCTACATCATGAGCAATACTTTCTAAGCAAATCTAAATTAACTGCCTAAATAATGTCAATTAACAAAATGACAACTTTATAACTTAAACTATGTGTAACATATTAAATAACTTAAAAAAGATGCAGTAAAAAAAACATCATAGAAAACTTAACTTTTTTTAGCTAGATGAAATTTATTTCAGATTTGTATTTGGGTTCATTTTCAATTCCAGACTGTCAAAAATAGTCAATAACCTGTGGATTGTGTGCTACTGTTTTCTGTTGCGAGAATTTGTCATTGGTGTGTGTATGTGTGTGTGTGTACGAATGCTTTAAGAAAAGACTGGAAGGGAGAGGGGTGGGGTGGGGGAATGGGGGGACTGCTGTACTGCTAGCTTTTTTTTTTTTACATCCTGGGCAAATGAAAAATATATATAAAGAAAAGATAAAGAAATGGTAATAGCCAACAAGAATTGTGACTGCTTCAATGAAGTAACACCCATATACATTTTAAAAATCATAACACTGTATAGTGATGTTGACGCACCTTTCCCAAGGCAAGCGAGTTGTAGATGACTCTACTGATCAGATAAGACCAGTAGAAGTGGAGGAGCTGGAGCACTACCACTGCAGCGATAAACACCTGCATGGAGGGGTACCAACCCATTATTACTGTACTCTCAAATAAAAAAGTATGGATTATCCTAGAAGATAGAACAATGGCAACGGTATTGGAGAAACTGAGGCTAACCCAGAATACCACCACCTTGATTACCTGTGCTGATCATTTCTACCTAAGCAAGAATGCCAGATACTGTACACTATGATCTACAAAACCCTTTCCTTCATTCAGCAGCCAAGTCATTCTGGCCACTGTTTGTTTCCAATCACAAATATAAACTCTTGGATGAAGACAAATTAATGTTATATCATCAAATACAATCTGGCAAAATGATCATAAAGCAAATTTATTATCAATAATTTGGATTGGTTTAGACCATTAACATCAACATTTCCATGTAGTTCAATTAAAATATCAAAGTGCAACAAAATTAATTTTTCTATAAAACTGAGTGCACTACCTCAACTTGATAATCTTTCATCGTCATCATCATCACCATCATTGTTCCACTGTGGTGCCATTGGATTTCTGATACACAATACAATAGTAATCTTTCAACCCTACTACTACTGAAAATCCTAAGTCAAAAACCTTAAGCATTTGTCTGTTTAATGAGACACAAGCAACAACTGATAGGTAATAAAACGTTATTATATATATATATGTGTGGGTGTGTGTGTGTGTGCATTTTTACAAGAAATTCATCATTTTATGTTTGAATTGATTTCTGCATTAAATTTATACATTTTTTATTGCTCAATATTGGATATACACAATCTGACAAAATTACATTGGGTGAAAATGTTATTGGCAGCAATTTCCACCCCAAATCAGGTGTTTATAATTGCTTATCAATAAATAATGCTTCATTAATATTGCTTCATATTTAAAAATCATGATTTTCGATTAATTGTATTATTAAAAATATGTTTATCCGATACAAAATAGACACAAAACCTAGCAAAATCTTTAACAACATTCTGAAATAAAGTGCAATATTTCATTAGTGCAATCATACCAGTATTGATGGTGGAGTCCACACTTACCTAGTGGGAAATATGATCAGTCTAGTGATGAGCCAGACCAGAGCAAACCCTACAAACAAGAAATCACACAGCTTCTGCCGACCTGCATATTTTGCCATCTTTGCTGCCTAGAACACAGAAATATATGACAAGTGCTGCCATCTAGTGAGTAGAGACCAGAGTTAACCAGCAAACATCTACATTTGTTTTCTTTTCCAAACTATGTATCTTTTTGTACATCAGAAGTGTTAATAATAATTAATAATATATTATTAATAAAATATATAGTGAAGTCATTTTACAGGCATTTGGTATCAAATTAAAATGTAATGAAGGCTTTTATCAGTCAGGAAGTTTTTGATGGCGTTTCAGGAAAAAAGCCCCAACAGTCTGTGTGCGTGGGGGGTATTACATCTAGCCAAACGTCAGCAGCATTATGGACAGCTAACATCAGTGTTCCTATCCTGACATAGTTACCGGACCAAGACATAGATATCAGGAAGATGGTCACAATGTGGTGCAGGAACGTCTCCCAGAAATCCTGAAAAAGAAATTATAGAGAAAATAAAGTCATGTATAAAATCAATTAACTAAAGGCTGATTTACTGATAACTAGAGGACCAGAGAGCGATTGCGGGTCCGGATATTGTACCACTAGCTGGAGTAAGTGCATTCGTATGCCTTTTTCTCCCACCATTTTTTCTTAGAGCAGTTGGACCCCTTTTTAAATAACCGTCGTATGAGCCGGTGACTCCCAGGGGGTACAGAGACACCACTTAATATGAACATAATAATAATAATAATAAATTAACCCTTGTATCACCATACTGTACCTTTCTTTTGATGTCAACAAAGTGTGAGGCGGAGAGAGACCAGTAGAAGGCTAACTCTAACATATAGTACCAGAATACATCATCTGACACATGCTGGGGAGGAAAGAAACCAATATTATAGACATATTTTTCCCTTTTAAGGCAAAAATGACATTTTGATTTTTAAACATACATACCGGTGTGGATATAACTCCGTTTTTATATTAGCTGCCGTTAAACAACTGTCATTGCATACATTAGATACATATTAGTGTTTGCTCTATATAAAAGCAATGATGTAAATGTTTCAGTCACTTAGCCATGGAGTCCATAATACTAGCCTATAGGGAAGAGAGATAGAGTGGATTACCTGGTCTGGATAGCCTATCCAGCAATTCCGTATCTCCCAAAACCATGGTTTCTGCAGTTCCAGAGAAATTAATTAACTTCAACATATAACATAATGGTTTCAAAGTAAAACAATATACATTTACTTAAATACACCTTTCATCATTATTTATTTATATAAGTTTGATGATAACAATTAAAATCAAGACTGTCTCTGCCTTCCATTCTTAAATATCCCTGTTTGAACAGTGTTAACAATGATTGGGTCTATTGTTCCAACTTACATCCCATAATATGGTGATACCGTACACAAAGGCTGATAGGTAGAAACAAAACCTCCAGCTACAAAAGAACAAACAGGAAACTCTACACACTGGATGAGCTAAAATGCTTCTTTAGTTTGCCACCAACATAACGTGTTGCCATGGCAACAGCAATAAGAGACAAACGAATTTTGGGCTTGCTGTTAATTATGGTCTCAGAGGAACATGATGTAAAAATGGATTGTGAAAGTAACAATAACGATGGATCTGGTTTGGACAGTGTAAAATCAGGTTTTAGCTGTGGTCCCAGAGATGATGTATACCTACAAATCAATGGTATAGTTTATACGCCATACTGGGCTGGGTTGTATGAAAGCCGTATAGCACTATACACCGGATAACTCTATACAGTGTGTAAATGCCCTATACGGCGTATAGCTAAACGGTGGATAAATAAACGGTGGATAAATATGCATTGTATAAAGAGCGTATAAACAGGCGGTTAGTTAAACGGTGGATAAAATTGAAGATAGTTGCTATGAACAACTTGGTCTATGTCCATATTTGGTTACCCATCAGACACTGTTGCTAAATCACTTTACTGATAAAACAAATCCAAGAAATTGACAATAGATTAATTTCTTTTCATATATTATTCATTTTTATTTAGCATTTATGTACTGTTCATCTTTGTCTCAAATACAAGACTTAATTATTGCAATCAAACACTGAAATGAACAAAAGAAACTGGCAAACACTGAGATTAAATGCATTGTAGGTGAAAATTCATTTTTAACTTGTAGTGTTAATTGTTGTTCATGAATAATTTTACATGTGAATATTATATTTTAAAAGAAATGTAGAGAAATTGCTTTACATTATTTACTATTTTCAATTTTATTATTTATTTTACTACTTGTGCATTATATGTGCTGATGAAAATGTACATGTAATGTTATTTATACAAGGGTATCACATTGAACACAATAATTGAACACATTCAATTACGAAACATAATGAATAGATGATTACGGTCTGAAACGGTACACAAATAATCTTAATCTGGATCAGTACTTTTATATCTACATATATGTGAAATATTAATGTTTGTTTGAAAAGTTTTGAAATATATCCCCTGGTTGCTGGTGTTGAGGTGGAAAAAATGTGCACAATGTGGATGCTTCCAGGCCACTGGGAGACAATACATGTAAATCTACATGAAAAAAGAAAAGAAATGAATATTAAGAATGATTTGAAAAGGGGAAGGGGGTGGGGGAGACAATAATTAAAACAATAATAATGGTGAAAGCACATCATTTTTGGAACATTTTCTTTTTTTTTCAATATAGTCAAAGAAATATTCAGTTTGCATTTATGAGATAGAATATGATAAGGTGATGAAAATAAAATTCAATTAATATATTAGCATTTAATTCCATCATGTATAGTCCTTATTTACTTTGCAGTTTAAAAGGGCCTACTTTTTAATAACCAAATAAATAGAAAGTAAAGTAATCAACACATTCCCAAAGTTTTAAAATGGAAATTAACTTAATTTTTGTAATTATGTGGTTCTGCAATGATTTTGTTATTCATTAAAAAAAGATTATAGACTATTAAGGTAGATTGCATTAGCTGCACCTGCATAAACATTGCTTGCACATTCAGTCACACTGAAGAAGCCAAGGTCATGGCCACAAAAATGGCCGACTTTCAAAGTTGAACCACGAATGCTGCAGATGTTGGACGTGTTATTTACGGTGAGCTCTTCAAATTTATGCTTTGAATATGTAATAAAGATCAATATCTTTGTGGTCACATATAGCCTGAGCATTCAAACTGTGGTATTTCTTTCTGTTCACCAATGCAGGCTCATTCAACGTGGGCACTGTTATCCTAATGCGAGTTCCGTCCACAGCCCAGGGAATCTGGCAATCCTAAAAAAAGCCACGCCGGATCGTGGCCTTCTTCCTCTCTCTTCTCTGTCTAGGTGGACTATACTGCTGAGGATTCCTGTGGAACCTCAGCAGGCATGCCATTTTTATCCACTGTATAACTATTTAAACGACCTCCCTGAGACGTATAACTTTAACCGACCGTTTAGCAGATTTATCCACCGTATAAAGTTATACGTCTTTCATGCAACCCGTATAGGAACCGTATAAGTTACACGGCTGATTTATCCAGCGTATAGTGCTATACGGCTTTCATACAACCCAGCCCTGGGCGTATTGCCATCGGTGCCGTTGTTCTTCACAGGGTTATTAAGTGCTGTACCTGAATCTGTTATGTCTAAAAATTACAGCAGGCACATTAAAAAATATAAAATGTTTGTTAGGAAGCAGGTGTAATTTGGACTGTTTATATCTGACATATTTGAGTGTTTCCAGACATCAGCTGGCAGCACAATGTTAACATTATGATATATAAAACAGAAACTGAGAGAGATAATCTGAGGTTCAGACATGAAATAGAGCATGTAAAAAAATTGTCACATCTGTATATGTGAACTAACTAGTTTGTAGTCCGAGGGTCAAATATGGCAACCCATTACAAAAATTGTCGTCTAAACCGCTTATAGACACTGAATAGATTTCCCGTGGGGAAGTATTTAATACCCCCGTCACACTTATTCGGAATCAGCAGGAATGAAGAAGAATGAGCACGAACGATGAATTTTTAAAATTCGAAACACATTCGGGGGGAAATTTTCAAATTGACCTTAATTATTGTAAGAGGACCGTTGGAATACTCAGAATGCGCTTGAATTCGCCTGGAATGATGAGTGCATTTTCGACTGTGTAGCTCTCAAAAGCAGTTCGAATGTAGTTGGAAAATTAGGAATATTTATAATGCCGTTTGAAGGCAGTAAGAATATTTAGAACATACTTTGAACGGCGCACTAGTGTAGTTCGATTGCTGGCAAAATTATTATTTCAGCTCATCCGAGGCACATTCGAAACATTCTGGCGGAGTATAAAATCATTTAATGCCCGTCACACTAGAGGCGGAATGATTAAGAATGGCGTCGGAAATACAATTCTTTGTGCGTTCCAGGATGTTCGAATAGCATTCTAAAAACATTCTAAAAATTCTGAGTGCATTCCAAATATTTTAACACATTCTTGTGGCCGGCTCGAATGTTTTTGTCATGTCAAAAACTTTCGAAGTGCATTCCAAGAGGAAATTTATCGAATGACATTTGAACAGTATTCTAACTGCACTATGACTGCATTCTAAATATTCTCACGGCCTTCCGACAGCATTCGAAACATTATGATCAGTTACCATTCCTGTGGCGTTATCTATACACTCTGGGCATCGTGTTACATTCTAAACATGTTAGAAAGTAATTTTAATTAAGTATTTTAGGTATTTCAGCTGCATAATGTTTGAATTCTTTATATTTCAAACCATCATTGGCAGCCATACCGGGAGCAGTTAACTGCATTTGAGTTCGCTTCGTATATCATTCGAGGCATCTTCTTACATACTTCTGCCTGTATTCGGCCAGCAGTCAAACCACAATCATACGGGATTTGAATTTCATTCGGAATATTCTGACTGCAATTTGAAATTCCCTCCCGATTATGGCACGAATTTTTCAATTTATTCATTCTGGCTGGTTCTACCTATATTCCTGCTGGTTCTGAATAAGTGCGACGGGGACCTTAAGTCGCGCACCAGTTCAGAATGGGTTAAAGTATTTGAAATGCACTCAGAATTTTTAGAATGCTCTTTGAATATCCAGGAATGCACAAAGGATTGTCTTTCCGATGGCATTCATGTTCATTCTGTCTCTAGTGTGACGGGGGTATAAGCGGGTCGGTTCTGTTTGACCCTCCGACTACGGCAGTTAGCCCACTGCTGTGAAAGCGGCCTAATAGAAACAGCATGTCACAAGATTTGAAAACTAATTAAACTGTTCAAATAAATTACCAATTATAACTATATTCTAAATGAGAAAACAAACAAAATCACAAATGATGAGTAGCCGCGTTTTACGCAATCATAGCAATCTCTTCATACCTATTTTCCGAGAATTTTACAATATCACTGGGTCTGCCCAGATTCCTCCTGAGCCGAAACCATCGATGTACACGCCGCCTGGTCCAATCTGTTTGTTTTACTATGGCCTGATATAAAAATAAAGAAAAATTCAAACTTGAGTACTAGCATATATAACAGTTATAATGTACAGTTATGTACACGCCGCCTGGTCCAATCTGTTTGTTTTACTATGGCCTGATATAAAAATAAAGAAAAATTCAAACTTGAGTACTAGTATATATAACAGTTATAATGTACAGTTGTGTACACGCCGCCTGGTCCAATCTGTTTGTTTTACTATGGCCTGATATAAAAATAAAGAAAAATTCAAACTTGAGTACTAGTATATATAACAGTTATAATGTACAGTTATGTACACGCCGCCTGGTCCAATCTGTTTGTTTTACTATGGCCTGAAATAATGGGAAAAACATTTAAACTTGAGTAAATATAACAGTATAAAAGTCAACAAGTACAGTTATGAAACTGTATTTCTAATGATTATGAGCCAAATATTTATTTTAACGGCTGCATCAAGATCAGTATAAATTAAAATAACATAATAAAATAACATACTTTTTATAAATCCTGTGTAGCCAGTTTTTCCAAGTGGAAACTAGATGTGATATTCTTGCGCTAACAAATCCTTTAGAATTGTCAAAAATTTCCATTTAAAAGAAAAGTTTGCCGCTCACCTGTAATTGTTTATCACTCGGGTTTTTATTTCTTTTAAATTCACTTTCTAATATGGGATTTTTCGGGACTTGAACAATTACTTTTCCCTTCACTCCCAAATGTACAGCAATAGGAGAAGCTATGTACCTAGGTAAAGACATAATAAAAACTAATAATGTGCCATGAATATGGAATCTGGTGAAAGTGGCCATTATTAACAAGATACTGCTCTGGAGACACTGGGAATATTAAGATAATTCATTCTCAGCCTATGTGCTCAGAATCTTAATGCTCTTTCCATGATGCATTGCTTACTCAAACAGTTCCTGGTGACTTCCCCGACTCCACAAGCGCGCCTTTAAACGGATTAAACCTCTGCTCCAAGGTTTAATTGCTAGGCCCTACAGCGACGGCGCGAGTGGAGGCGGGGAGGCCATCAGGAGGCATAGACATCACTTTTGAACTGTGGTCGGCCATATCCATTCTGAATGGGATCAAACTGACAGCCTAGTATCAGCGGCGAGGGCCAGTGTGTTCCCCACATTATATAATCTGTACTGAATTACGTGAATGTCAATAGGCAGGTGTCTCAGTGTTCCTAGGTAATGACACAGAGCTACAAGGTAAATACAGATGACCTGTCTGATATCAAACAGCAGAGCAGAATGAATTGAACATCTTCCAGCAGCATCTATTATTTACTATGACATAATTGATAGCCTTCCATTCAGAAATGTACAAAAGCTAATACAACACTACATATGACTGTTATAAGACATTAACACTCAAACAATGGGTATCACTTCTATCTTGTTAACACTATTTCAGCAGTGTGCATCGACTGCGGTAGGGCAACCAATTTTTTAAATTTTTAATTAATTAATTCTTATTTATTTATTTATTTTATTTATTTATTGTCATTTTTTTTTTTTTTTGCTTATCCAAATTACTTCTTTTCGTCGCTTTTTTCTCTATATGGTTTAAATAGGGATAGAATAAGTCTAATCAACCCTATCCTGTTTATCCAAATTAAGTCAGTTTTAGCATTTAGCTAATTAACTGCTGAGTGTTACCACTACCCCAGTTTGGTCTCAGTTCACATGTCCCACATAAAGAGAATTTGGGTTGAGGACTTAAGGTCAATCAAAAGAAAAATCAATCAAGCCACCTTCACTCCATTAATTTGCCACTGATCCCCAATATGCTATACAGTACCTTTTATTGTCAAAAGAAAAGAAAAGAACCATTCATTCATTGTTTCAGTTAACAATTATTGATTCAATTATCGTCACAACGGCTAAGAATGGCTGTTTTGGAGTAGGTATACTTACTGGCGCTACTAATACAGTGTTAGCAGAAGTACATGTCAGACATGCTTTGTTTCATTTCCCTTCAATTAACAGTATTAAAACTGATAAGAAAGATAGCAACAGCACGTTGTTAAACCTCGTATATCACAGTGTACAGACCGCGGAGAATTTCTCATACGTGTAATCAGTCGCGGGCATGGGCACGCGGCTCGTAGTAGTAGTAGTAGTAGTAGTGTAATTGTCCCTATCTGTTAAATTGGTCTCTGTCAACTTAAATTTTATCTTACTTTATTACCCTTTATCTAAAGTTACGATAATTTGCAGCCACGCGGTCAGACACGCAATTATCTGAGGTCTAAAGCCAGGTAGCAGCCAAGAAATAAATACAGTTTTAGATTTTATAACGAAGCTGTGGTTTTGCGTTAATTTTCTCTCCAGGCATAACCCAAGTCGGGAATCGTGGACTGAACCTTGAAATAATCAGCATTAGGATTAGAGCCCATATATTAAATTATACCCCGCGGTATCTGTAAGAACCCAGTACAACGTACGGTACCAAGTTATGTAATAAAAACGGGAAATTCAAGAAATATCGTTTCTTATTTAATTCAAGACAATGAGTGAATAATCCATGCAATACGATCTCTAACATCTTAACATTAGAAGCATATGCAACATTTTAACAGACTGGCGTTTAATGTCCATCTTGACCATCCAGTCTTAATCCTGCTGATAAGTGGGCGTTCACCAACCACCTGGTCAACACAAATACTGACCTCTCGAAGAGTGGCCTTAGCACCAAAAGCACTGCCGCTATTGGAATAGAATACCAGATAAGATCTTGCACTTGTGGATGATATATTCCATTATCTGTGTTTTCTAAATGTTTCCACGTAAAGCCTTCTGGAAGCCAAAATTTTTCGTTCCAAAACAATGCACATAACGTCCGCCAAGCTTCCATTTCGGTCGGGCTGTCTGCTGAGATCTCGTGCCAGACGAGATTTTACGTGAACGATCTTACATCAAGGCTCTTAGAATGGCGCGAGATACACCGTAACACGTCACAGTTTGTGCGTTAGTACACGTGTTAAGAATAGATTTTCCTTTGGTCGGGCAGTAAGCGATTTATTTTACAGAAGCAATAAGCAAAGGCGGGTGAAAATGATACATTGATTGTTTTTAACGAAACTGCTGTTGTGATCGTGCATTTCCCTACCTTCACCAGGGGTAATCGTAGAGAGGGGTGAGGAACGACCATTGTTCTCGTCAGAGAGGCTAATCATGTTCAGGGTATGTTGATGTACGAACAGACAGAAAAACATGAAATGTGGGAACGTTACTAATGAAGCTACTGGTAGTAGCAGTAGTAGATATTAGTTTGTAGTCTTGAACAAGCACTTCGATGTCGAGCTAATAGTTGTCAAAAACAAAAGACCCCAGTGCGGTACATCGACTACTGTTCCTGCGTGCCGCAAAGGTCAAGCCCTAATTGCCCTTGAAGGTTACAAACCAGTATATATGGTGCTGGCGGTTATGCTTGTCTTAGACCCCATTCCCACAGATTTTAGATCGATCTATCCCTGTGGGGAATCTCACTAGATTACTGTCAGCTTAGCCGGTTTAAGCGTCTGTCCCGCCTACTAAAAGCTGTAAGGGGGTAATTAACTGTCGTGCGCGCTCGGCTGACTGCAATTTAGCGTGAACCCCCAGGGAGTTATGTCGATCCGGATGGATCTCTGGGAATGCACTCTTAATAATATACCACGCGTTTCCACCCACTGCCTTCACCCGGTGTGCTCTCCCTGCGCGGAGAGCGCGCAATTACGGTAAGTACTGCGCACAACAGGTGGAGAGCCCAAATTCCCTGCCTGATCCCGGTCAGTAGAACTCAACCACAGCTACCGTGCAGACGTGTACGGTACCAGAGACGAAAATAAACAGAATTGAGACACAATGCACGGTGGTCTATAATCTCACTCCGTAAGTAGAACTAGTGAATACTTTACTGCCAACACTAAATGTAGAGGATCATATATACGTTGTTTTGAAATGATGTAGTAAGACTGTCAATGGCGAGTTGGGGAGACAAGAGCAGAATTGTTAGCAAGGCACTTTGTACACGTGAACCGGTTAAGTTAATGATAATTACATTTTGCAAAAACATTTAATTGAAGGACTTATTTTCCAAACTCTGTTATATGAATAGCAGAAACATACGGTTCAACAATTCAGTGTAAACATTTTGACATTGAAAATAAAACAAGGCAGCAAAGCTGGCAAATGTACAGACAAAGAACAGAAAATAAAGATGCAAATAAGTGAAAAATTAAATTTTCACAAAAAACTGTTAAATTACCAGAAAAATTTACCAAANCTTAAAAATTTTCCTCTTCTCATCGACCTGAGAACGTTTTAATCTCTGAGCATTTTGTTCAGCTTTCCTGTACTGTGGATCAGTTCTAAGAAGTTGCATCCTGATTTTATTTTTCTCTCTTTTCAAAATATTTCTGTCAGTGCTACTGGTTCCCGTAAGTGAGGTATCCAAAAGAGTTTTATTCACTGCGTCAATTTTGCTTTGTTGTTTGTCTTCTGTCCATTTTAACTGCCTCTTCATTTCATCATGTAGTCTTTTTAAATGGGGTTTGTGCAAATTTGTTTTATCAAAAATGGATGAAATAGAATCAGAGGTAATGGTATTACCAGTGTGTTTTGTTAATGGTACCTTCTTCATTGAACCCATTTTTGAATATTGAACACTTTTTTCCACAGGTTTTAAGGATGTTTTTAATGTTACCATATTGGGTTCATTTTTTTGAATTTCAGGAAAAACTACCGATTTTTTCTTTAATTTGTGGGGTACTGTTGATAGCTCTGGGTTGACTGGCATGTTAGATTTTACAGACTTATCTGATGGTGAAAAATGGTCTGAATATATTATAGACTTACTTGAATGACCAGGGGCATTAGTGGCACTCAAACTGACGGGATAGGCTGTGTCAACTGTAGCATCTGTCTTATCTGAAGCATCTGTATAAGCTGCATGAACAGTAACATCTGAAGCAATGGGAATGTCAGTGTGTTCAGGAAATTCAGTGTTTTCAGTAACTGCATTATTTTCACTTTTTTCAGTGTTTTCAGTAATTTCAGTGTTTTTTTCAGTAATTTTTGTTAACTCAGTATTTTCAGTAATTTCACTGCTTTTTTCAGTATTTTCACTGTGTCTATCAGTAATTTCACTGCGTCTATCAGTAATTTCACTGCTTCTATCAGTAATATCAGTAATTTCACTGCTTCTATCAGTAATATCAGTAATTTCACAGTTTTTCACAGAGCCCACCGAGGTGGGCGTGCCTGCCGAAGCAGGCACAATAGTAGTCGTGGCATTCTTAGTCACCCTCTTGCGACTTTTCTTGATCATCTTCTTCTGATTTGCCCTTCTTTGGACCATGCTTTGTTTTTTCAACCTAGGCATCTAGAAATATGAAAAAATACATATTTATTGGCAAACCATAATAGAAACTAAGAGAGTTGTAAACAGTTTCTTTCGAGTGCAACTGCTTAAGAGGCCCTTAACAAACTACCAAGACTAACAAGTGCACCGAAAATAAAACATTATCAAACAAAAACATTATTTACTGATGTGTTGATTCTGTAATTAAAGGTACATGCCGATGGAGTGTGCATCCCCAGTAATACATGTAATATACCTCTACTAGTTACTTGTATAACAGAAATGAAGTTGACATGCCAATGGACAAAACAAATTAATCACTTCATCAACAATAAAATAGCCTTAAACTATCTCATAAAATTGATGGTTAATTTGCACTACTTATCTAACCTACTAATATTTATCAGTCCCATTTATATACAGCAGAGAAAGCAGACAGACGAATGTATTCACATATGCCTTTTTGTGTTGTTTTACAAAATGCTAGTTAATTATAACACGGGGTACTCAGGACACAAACCATGAATACTAGATACCGCCAATGGATTTTTGGAATTTTGGAATTTGGATTTTTAATTAGAACGGTGCCTTACATACAATGTTTTATTCCATTTTAAATGAGTCAGAATAATATAATATTGGATTCCTTGCAAAGCATAATATTTGTTGTGCCCATCATATTACTGTCATTACAGATTACACAACTACACATAATAATAATAATAATAATAATAATAATAATAATAATAGCCCAGTTTCTACTTCCAGCATCGAGCGGGTTTATATTGAGTCTGGTAGTATTATTTGTCTTACGATGCCAAAGCTCAGAAATGTAAATTAAGGGCATCAGGTATGCTAAAAAAAACTATTAAGGTTTGTTTCGTTATTAAGGTTAAATGGAAAAAGAAAAGACTTCAGAAGAAAATAGGACTTTTGGAACATGTTCAGACCTGCTCTAAGCTACTCTTTTTAAATATGAATTGATTTGTTATTATCAAGTTGTCAGCCACAGCTACTTAAAAAGAAGTGCAATGATACATAACACTTCATTATATACAGAATATCTGTAAATACCTGGATGGATTTTTTACAAGGTAACTAAATTACAAGGGTTGATTGATAAGTAGTGAACCTCGTGTGGAAAGGGTTAAGCAGGGATATCCCTTTTCAGCCCTTCTATTCCCTGACTATTTAAAGGTGTGTAGCCAAAGTTTGGTGTCATTTGATTAGTTAATGTCGACGAGGTAGCACTCCCAAATAAGCAAGGCAAGTGACTTTTGCAAAATGCCCCTGCTCACAAGTCTGTCATTGCCATGGCTGCAATCAACGAGTGTGGCTTTGAACTGATAGAACATACACCAACATCCTGATCTTGCTTCCTCTGACTATTATCTATTTTCCAAATTGAGAAAGGCCATTTCAGGTACTCACTTTGTGTCAGATGATGACATCATACGTGAAGTGGAGGGGTTTCTGAACGTCCAAGAGAAGGGCTTCTATAAAAGTGGCATAGAGTCTCTCAAAACTCACTGGCAAAAGTGTATAGATACTCAAAGAGAGTATGTTGAAAAATAAAGAAAAATACTTGTAAAATGTGTACCCCTTCTATATGAGGCTAACTACTTATCAATCAACCCTTATACAACTTAATTGCTATTGGCCTCCCAAACAGGTATATTAAAGAACAAAACATGGATAAGGGAACTTGGTACATTTGATAAATGTAAGTACTTATTACTTTAGTCAAAAGATAAAAATATCACAGTCACAATTTGCACATTGAGACATGTGAAAAGTAAAACAAGGATAAAGTGACAGCAGTTGAAAAAAAATTATAAGATTGCTGCACAGAAGTTATAAAAAGTGAAGACCAGTAACCAAAAAAGCTACTTGTATGGGTTATTAAATAAACATTTAATTGATCCGTCCATTAAGAAATATTCAAATTGTTGATCTCCTAATGATGAACGTAAACATTGTAATTAATGTTAAAAGGGAATATTCATAANTAATGTAACCATATTGGGTTCATTTTTTTGAATTTCAGGAAAAACTACTGATTCTTTCTTTAATTTGTGGGGTACCGATGATAGCTTTGGGTTGACTGGCATGTTAGATTTTACAGACTTATCTGATGGTGAAAAATGGTCTGAATATATTATAGACTTACTTGAATGACCAGGGGCATCAGTGGCACTCAAACTGACAGGATAGGCTGTGTCAACTGTAGCATCTGTCTTGTCTGAAGCATCTGTATAAGCTGCATGAACAGTAACATCTGAAGCAATGGGAATGTCAGTGTGTTCAGGAAATTCAGTGTTTTCAATAACTGCATTATTTTCACTTTTTTCAGTGTTTTCAGTAATTTCACTGTTTTTTTCAGTAATTTGTGTAATCTCAGTATTTTCAGTAATTTCATTGCTTTTTTCAGTATTTTCACTGCTTCTATCAGTAATTTCACTGCGTCTATCAGTAATTTCACTGCTTCTATCAGTAATATCAGTAATTTCACTGCTTCTATCAGTAATTTCACAGTTTTTCACAGAGCCCACCGAGGTGGGCGTGCCTGCCGAAGCAGGCACAATAGTAGACGTGGCATCCTTAGTCACCCTCTTGCGACTTTTCTTGATCATCTTCTTCTGATGTGCCCTTCTTTGGACCATGCTTTGTTTTTTCAACCTAGGCATCTAGAAATATGAAAAAATACATATTTATTGGCAAACCATAATAGAAACTAAGAGAGTTGTAAACAGTTTCTTTCGAGTGCAACTGCTTAAGAGGCCCTTAACAAACTACCAAGACTAACAAGTGCACCGAAAATAAAACATTATCAAACAAAAACATTATTTACTGATGTGTTGTTTCTGTAATTAAAGGTACATGCCGATGGAGTGCGAATCCCCAGTAATACATGTACATGTAATCTACCTCTACTAGTTACTTGTATAACAAAAATGAAGTTGACATGCCAATGAACAAAACAATTTAATCACTTCATCAACAATAAAATAGCCTTAAACTATCTCATTTAAATTGATGGTTAATTTGGATTACTTATCTAACCTACTAAAATTTATCAGTCCCATTTATATACAGCAGAGAAAGCAGATAGAAGAATGTATTCACATATGCCTTTTGGTGTTGTTTTACAAAATGCTAGTTAATTATAACACGGGGTACTCAGGACACAGACCATGAATACTAGATACCGTCAATGGATTTTTGGATTTTTGGAATTTGGATTTTTAATTAGAACGGTGCCTTAGATACAATGTTTTATTCCATTTTAATAGAGTCAGAATAATATAATATTGGATTCCTTGCAAAGCATAATATTTGTTGTGCCCATCATATTACTGTCATTACAGATTACATAACTACACATAATAATAATAATAATAATAATAATAATAATAATAGCCCAGTTTCTACTTCCAGCACCGAGCTGGTTTATATTGAGTCTGGTAGTATTATTTGTCTTAAGATGCCAAAGCTCAGAAATGTAAATTAAGGGCATCAGGTATGCTAAAAAAAAAAAAACTATTATTTAAGGTTTGTTTAGTTATTAAGGTCAAATGGAAAAAGAAAAGACTTCAGAAGAAAATAGGACTTTTGGAACATGTTCAGACCTGCTTTAAGCTACTCTTTTTAAATATGAATTGATTTGTTATAATCAAGTTGTCAGAAAACAAGTGAAATTAGTAAGCTACAGCTACTGAAAAAGAAGTGCAATGATATATAACACTTCATTATATACAGAATATCTGTAAATACCTGGATGGATTTTTTACAAGGTAACTAAATTACAAGGGTTGTAGTAAGTAGCGAGCCTCGTGTGGAAGGGGTTAAGCAGCGATATCCCTTTTCAGCCCTTCTATTTCCTGACTATTTAAAGGTGTGTAGCCAAAGTTTGGTGTCATTTGATTAGTTTATGTCGACGAGGAAGCACTCTCAAATAAGCAAGGCAAGTGATTTTTGTGAAATGCCCCTGCTCACAAGTCTGTCATTGCCATGGCTGCAATCAACGAGTGTGGCTTTGAACTGATAGAACATACACCAACATCCTGATCTTGCTTCCTCTGACTATTATCTATTTCCCAAATTGAGTAAGGCCATTTCAGGTACTCACTTTGTGTCAGATGATGACATCATACGTGAAGTGGAGGGGTTTCTGAATGTCCAAGGGAAGGGCTTCTATGAAAGTGGCATACAGTCTCTCAAAACTCACTGGCAAAAGTGTATAGATACTCAAAGAGAGTATGTTGAGAAATAAACAAAAATACTTGTAAAATGTGTACCCCTTCTATATGAGGCTAACTACTTATCAATCAACCCTCATACAACCTAATTGCTATCGGCCTCCCGAACAGGTATATTAAAGAACAAAACATGGATAAAGGAACTTGGTACATTTGATAAATGTAAACTTGTACTTATTACTTTAGTCAAAAGATAAAAATATCAGCAGTCGCAATTTGCACATTGAGACATGTGAAAAGTAAAACAAGGATAAAGTGACAGCAGTTGAAAAAAAATTCTAAGATTGCTACACAGAAGTTATAAAAGGTGAAGACCAGTTACCAAAAAAGCTACTTGTATGGGTTATTAAATAAACATTTAATTGATCCATCCATTAAGAAATATTCAAATTGTTGATCTCCTAATGATGAACGTAAACAAAGTAATTAATGTTCAAAGGGAATATTCATAATAAGTTATCTTTAGCTGACTTGGATAAATGCTGGGGAGTCTCTGCTTGGAAGCTTAATCCATTTATTAACCAAACAGTACCTTTTTATATGGAGAGGGAAAAAGAACTGGTCTCATCTATAAGGGTCTATTCCCACAACTTTAGATCGATCTATCACCGCGGGGAGTCTCACCAGACTAACGTCAGATAATCCCCCTTAAGTGTCCGTCCCCGCCCACTACAAGCCATAAGGGGCAATTAACTTTCGTGTCCGCCCGGCTGACAGCTATTCAGCGCGAACCCCCAGGGAGTTAGGTCGATCCAAAGTAGGTCGATCTAATCTATGGAAATGGGGTGTAAGATGCTAAAGTGTGGTATTGATGGTTACCTTTAACAATCATACTATGAAGTAAATGCGCACTAAATTAAAAGGATATTTTCATTAATAAAAGGGCTGCTACTAGTAACTCATTCCCTCTGTAGGGATCTAGGTGATACTCTGTAGGTGATACTCTTAGCACAACAGTGTTCAATATGCTCATTGATGCTCTGGGTGACAAGTTAATTCAGCCCAACACTAATCTGGTCCTCATTTCTGAACCAAACACCTGTAAATTGCACGTTTTAGACAGATGGACTAATTAAGGGTCTGTTATGTATTCAAAAGCAACCTTCAAATGTGAACAATCAATCATGAACAAAAATGGTGCAAACTTTTTTGAGCCTTTTCTCATATTTGGAGAAACCAATCAGTGGATACTGACATTTCAGATTTCAGGAAAGTATACAACAGTATTATATTTAAGTAATAAAAATTGCCATAAAGGCTTGATGTTTCAAAATAACGAACCCACATATTGCCAACAATTAAGTATCTACCTATCTAAAAATACTGCCTTGGTATGTACTTGTCTGCTAGTAGATATCAATATTAAGTGCACACTGCTGGTACTTAGATGATCTTGAGACTTAAATGACAAGTATCTAAAACAATACTTACATTCTATTGCCACACTAATTATCCTGACAAGGTGCAATTGACTAAGTGGGTAACTGACTGACTGAGTAACTTCAACTGGGAACTGGAAGAAATAGAATGTTATATAAACTCAACTGACTATTATTTAATCTAGCACTGATGCTCTTAATATCTGAAACATATTCCTTTACTTTTGATAAGCTCCACATTGTTGAGAAGAAACTATGGTTACTCAAAAAATATATAGCATATAAAAATAATAATAATAATAATTATTATTATTATTATTATTTACAGTCTAAAATCCATATATAAAATGTTTAGTAGATTTTACAGAGGTAAAATGAACAGAATATGATCTAAAGAGTCAAAAATAAAAAATAAACAGTTGAGATATAAACGATATTGAAATATATGGTGCAATGTAAATTAATATATTCTGTAGGTCCCATTTAAAACAAGATGATCCGCCAACTAGCAGATCTGCCAACTAAATAGGGCTGACCCTACTTTAAAAATGATAGCGCTGAATCCAGAAGGTCTCACATCCTCAACATGCGCCCTTAAATGGATTTAAATTCATGCAGGGTTTAATTATTAGGCCCCTGCAGTTGTGGCATGTGTGGGGGCAAAAAGACCGTTAAGGAATAAATGGCATGGTTATTGAAGTGGGGTTAAAATTATTTAGTGGACGAATCTGCTTGTCAGTGGTCCCTCTATTCTGTTGCTTCAATAACCAACCCACATATTGCCAACAATAAAGTATCTACCAATCTAAAAGTATTTCCTTGGTATGTTCTTGTCTGCTAGTAGCTATCTATATAAAGTGCACACTGCTGGTACGTAGATGATCTTGAGACTTAAATGACAAGTATCTAAAACAATACTTACATACTATTGCCACACTAATTATCCTGACAAGGTGCAATTGACTAAGTGGGTAACTAACTGACTGAGTAACTTCAACTGGGATCTGGAAGAAATAGAATATTATATAAACTCAATTGACTATTATTTAAATCTAGCATTGATGCTCTTTATATCACAATAATAATAATAATAATAATAATAATAATAATAATAATAATATTTATTTACAGTCTAAAATCCATATATAATATGTTCAGTAGATTTTACAGAGGTTAAATGAACAGAATATGATTAATAGAGTCAATAATAAAAAAATAGCTGGTAAAGATATAAAGATATTGAAATATATGGTGCAATGTAAATAAATATATACTGCAGGTCCCATTCAAAGCAAGATGATCTGCCAATTAGCAGATCTGCCAACTAAATAGGGCTGACCCCACTTTAAAAATGATAGTGCTGAATCCCAAAGGTCTCACATCCTCCACATGTGCCCTTAAAAGGATTTAACCATGTGTCCAGGTTTAATTATAAGGCCCATCGGGCCATGCAGTTGTGGCGTGTGTAGGGGCAAGAAGACCGTTAAAGAATAAATGGCATGGTTTTTGAAGTGGGGTAAAAATTATTTAGTGGATGGATCTGCTTGTCAGTGGTCCCTCTATTCTGTTGCTTCAATAACCAACCCACATATTGCCAACAATAAAGTATCTACCAATCTAAAAGTATTTCCTTGGTATGTTCTTGTCTGCTAGTAGCTATCTATATAAAGTGCACACTGCTGGTACGTAGATGATCTTGAGACTAAATGACAAGTATCTAAAACAATACTTACATACTATTGCCACACTAATTATCCTGACAAGGTGCAATTGACTGAGAGGGTAACTGACTGAGTAACTTCAACTGGGATCTGGAAGAAATAGAATATTATATAAACTCAACTGACTATTATTTAATCTAGCATTGATGCTCTTAATATCACAAACATATTCCTTTACTTTTGATAAGCTCCACATTGTTGAGAAGAAACTATGGTTACTCAAAATATATATAGCATATAATAATAATAATAATAAATAATAATAATAATATTTATTTACAGTCTAAAATCCATAAAAAAATGTTTAGTAGATTTTACAGAGGTAAAATGAACAGAATATGATCAAAAGAGTCAAAAATAAAAAATAAACAGTTGAGATATAAACGATATTGAAATATATGGTGCAATGTAAATTAATATATTCTGTAGGTCCCATTTAAAACAAGATGATCCGCCAACTAGCAGATCTGCCAACTAAATAGGGCTGACCCTACTTTAAAAATGATAGCGCTGAATCCAGAAGGTCTTACATCCTCCACATGCGCCCTTAAATGGATTTAACCTCATGCAAGGTTTAATTATTAGGCCCCTGCAGTTGTGGCATGTGTGGGGGCAAGAAGACCTTTAAGGAATTTAACATATTTAGTGGACAGATCTGCTTGTCAGTGGTCCATCTATTCTGTTGCTTCAATAACCAACCCACATACTTCCTGCAATTTAGTAGCTGCCTAGATGTTCAAGTATTACCTTTTCTATATACTTGAATTCTAGTACTTAGCTATCTACATCAAATGCATAATTCTGGTATTTTGATGATCGTGAGACTTAAATGCTAATGATTTAAAACAAACAATACTTGCCACACTTATTATTCTGTGAAGCTTCAACTGAATTGCTTCTAACTTCAACTGTGAGCTGGAAGAAATATAATATTATACAAATTCAACTTAAAATGATTAAATCTAGCATTGATTCTCTTTATATCACAAAGGGGGCATCTCGATAGTCCGAAGGTTCATTGGTCCGAAAAGTGGTAACATTTTTGCCGATCTTTTAATCAAGGGCTCATTGGTCCGAAGGTTCTTTAGTGAACATTCGGACCAATGATTCTTCGGACTATTGCTATGGACCCATCACAAACATACTCCTTCACTTTTTATCAGCCACAATGTTGAGAAGAAACTATGGTTTCTACAAGTATATTAAAATATCACCAGTAATATTAGTACTTACTAGTACTGTAACACAGGATAAACCTTGACCCCCTTTTGGAGCAAAGTACACATGCTGTTAAACACCATAAAACAAATGCATTATCCTGTGAATCAATGAAAGGCAAATTTCCCCAATAAAGAAATGTGGCATCAATTCAGGCAAGCAAGACACCATTGCCATTTAATGAGATTTTTCACATAGCTATTCTTAACTTTCTTTAGTCGTGAATATTGTTGATGCACATCTCTAAAAGTTATGCACTGTTTTAAATACTATAGAGCTTTAGGATACAGATTTGACATAAACATCTTCAGTGTCTAATGTTATGTATGTATGATCTTTTCAACTGTTAATTAGGATTTATTAATTAGCTTTATTTTTGCTCTTTAATTGTTTTGCAATAGCAGTATAAATAACTCCTCTTAAAAACTAACATTAAACTAAAATTAACAACTTACCAAGCTTCTTCTGTAAACCTATGGCCTCCTTCACAATGTCTCTAGTTGCACATTTCTAGGTCACTGCATCTCATTAGTCAAATGAACTGGGGATTGTGGGAAACCTCCTGATGAGAGCTTAGAATCTTCCTAAGGGAGATCTGGCTTTTCTGTTAACCTTTCCACCCTTAGCAACAGTCTCTAGTTGCACATTTCTAGGTCACTGCATCTCATTAGTCAAATGAACTGGGGATAGTGGGAAACCTCTTGATGAGAGCTTATAGAATCTTCCCAAGAGAGTTCTGGCTTTTCTGTTAACCTCTTCACCCACAGTATAATAAAACAAGACAGCACTGTTCTGACATGGGTTTATTTCCATATTTAACACTTTCTAAACATAAAACAAAATAAACAGTGTACTGCAATTTTTATATGATCAACTAAGAAAATAGATGAGATGGGAAAAATATCAATAGAACAGTGTTAAATGTCCAATTTCCTCCATTCTTAGATTCTGAACATAGTGGATGACTGAATCTGACAAACTGCAATGATATGAGTTTATTTCCATTTTTGACACTTTATTACACAAAACACAATAACAAGTTTACCATAATTTTTACAAAATCAACTGAAAATATTGTAAAGATGCAGGAAATGTCAAACAAACACTTTTACGTATCTTATTACTTAAATAATAAGGCTATTAACATGCCTAAGAATTGAATCTGAGGAAATGCGAAAAAAACAGCTTCACTTCTAAAATAATGCCCCGATTATGCTGATTTTCGAACTCAATCTGCGTTTTAGTAAGATTGACCATTCCTGTGAGTTTAATGACAATGGGTCTCTCTGTTTTTCTTATATTGTGTTTACAGTGTTGCATATATGCTGAAAAATGAAAAAAAAACAACACAACTACTAAAATAGTGGCCCGATCATGCCGATTTTCGAACTTGACCTGCGCTTTAAGAAGATTGATTACTCCAGTGAGTTTCATGACAACAGGCCTAACGGTTTTCCTTAAAATGTGTTTACAAGGTTGCATATATGCTGAAAAGGAAAAAAACAGCATAACTTCTACTATAATGGCCCGATCATGCTGATTTTCGAACTTGACCTGCGTTTTATGAATATTCATCAGCTCTGTTAATATAAAACCAAAAAGTAAAACTGTTTTCCACTTATCGTGTTTACGGTGAAAGTGCACGGCGACGGCATCGGCATCGGCATCGCCATCGGCGACGGCGACGACAGACGCAGGCGATGGCAATATGTACAGACACATCTGTGTCTGTACATAAAAACATTCTGGGCCATATGTGGTCCATGTCTGGCCCTAATCTGGCCCATTTGAATATGATCTGGCCCACATCTGGCCCACATCTGGCATGCCATACCTTTGCCAGATATTGCCAGATCTGGGCCGACATCTGGCCATATGAGCAAATGTGGACTGGGCCAGATGTGGCAATGTCTGGGCCAGATCTGGCCCAAACATTGCCACATCTGGCCCACATCTGGCAAGCCATACGTGGGCCATACCTTTTGCCAGACATTGCCAGACGTTGCCAGATCTGGGCCAGACGTGGGCCAGATCACTGAGGCTGTCTGGGATGAATCTTTTATGAGTAATTATTTTGGAATTTCTCAATCAGAATTTGACAGACAACTCATTACTATTTAGGCAGCAAACTTAGATATAGTTTTTGTCAACTGGGAGAAAATGACATCAGCACAGAAGTGACCTCACTTCCATTGTTTCTGCCATCCTTCGTATGACCCACGCTACCACTGATTACAATCCCAATATTCAGAAAACAATTTGAGCATTCGTTTTCAGGGATCAACACAGTGTGTAATTTATCATATTGTACTGACATGGTTTTCTCTTGTTTTCTGTTAAATTATCTAATATGTGTACCAAAAACTTGTTTCCTCAGTTCTTAGTTATTATTATGCAATTCCTTGATCCAGGAATCTTAAATCTTCCGGCCCTTCTCCTTTATCTTCTATATCGTCACACTATTATGTGACCCAGATCTGTTGCTTCATTTTTGCATACTGAGGTGAGGTTAACTAAAATGGTTTTTCTACTAATAGAACGTTTTTATACTATTTAAAAGGTGGGTGTTGATGAAAACATATCTATAGTGAACAGATTGATTGCTGAATTTATGTAATAAATTCGAGAAATAGATCTAAATGTGACCAGAATTCTTAAATGATATCTGACATTTAATAAAATTCAATTCATGCTCAATTAATGCTAATTGAAATATGTGCTGTTGTTAGTAGGGTTACACGAAAATGAAATTAATGTTATCTGATATTAAATAGTTTAATAAAATAAAATCGTTTCATGATCTATTAATGTTAATTTAAAAATGTGTTGTTGTTAGTGTGGGTAGAGGTTGTATTTATAATTAGGAACTTTGACAACCTCATTGGAGGCACATCTGAAACACCAGGCAAAGTAGCCTACTTATGTCAGATTTCCCAACATCTGCCAAGATTATGATTTTACAGCTAGCAGAAACTGCACAATGTCCAAGTAAACAGCTCCTACATACCGTTCTTTCCAGAAAACCACCTCCAATTTTCTGTTCATATTATCTTAACAGTATTATAGAGCAAACTTAGATTTAAAAGGGAGAATTTGACAAAAAGTTGAAAAACAAGAAGATACTTGTAAAGAAGTACTAAGAAGTATTGTATACTTTAGTAGAGATTACCATGAATTTATACTGGTAGGTGTTCTCTTACTGGCCCCTTTGATAGATAAAAAGTTACTTTACACTTTCAGTTAATCTTCATAAATTTCTAATATTTGTAAACAGTACTGAAATGAATAAGAGACAATTTGCCCTGCTTTCATAGATTGTGACAGTGGTGCATGCCGGACACAATGCAATCACAACCAGTCACAATCTAAGTGTAACTATATATAAATATGCACAAATTTATTATTTGTTGTATGTCATTTTATCTAATTACATGTCACCGTTCATTACAGGGTGAAAATATTAGTTATACCAATAAATATATTTTAAACCACAAGAGAGTCCGTCTGTTACATTAGTACATAATAGATTTTTAAGGGCATCATCTATAATTGGCAGCTAGCTGGACAAAAACACCAAATTTTGCAGGTGTACATGTATAACTACCTTTTGACATACTAAATCATACTAGTCTCTTACCCCTCTGGAGAATAACCCCATTTGGGCAAATAGTTCAAGATGGTCACCAATTTATGGCATTATATAAANGCGACGGCGACGACAGCAACGACGGCGACGACAGACGTAGATGATGGCTATATGTACAGACACATCTGTGTCTGTACATAAAAATCCTGGTTTCATTAAAGTGCTCTGGAATTTTTTTTGTTTTTCAGTATTGTATCTCTCTCAAAATGATTATTACAACCCAATGCCCTTTTACTTGTCTTGGTCTTATTATTAAAGATAACTATACATGGCATTTCCTGGTACTGACATACGCTAAAAACGAAGCGTCCCTTATATTGGCAGGGCGCATTGTCCAGTGAAATAGGCGCCTTTTCTGCCGTAATGTGCAACGTGCATGCCCAAACAGCGCTTAGTTTACCATTTGGATGACCAAATGCCCTGACAGCTTACTAGGAAGAATACAAACCTCAAGATTGTTTTAAAACGTTTATTAACGCAATGGTTAACGCCTTTTCCCCTTAATCCTTAATGTTTTAAAACGGTTATTAACACAACAGGCAACACCTTTACCCATAAACTTTTTGTTGAAGACGCAAGTTTCAACAACCTCCCAAAAACTTGTTTAACACATGTCAAAAGTACAGGACAGAGCAACTGTAATCGTTTCAAACAAGTATTTGAAAATGCACATCAATACACACTATTCTGATAAATGTTAACCTCCATAAACTTTTCCAAGTACGATATTTCTTCAATGATCAATTATTAATGAATTCGTACTAAATACTTTAACAATTCCGCCATACGCTAAAAATCTAGAAATAATTAAGAAAGAAGTCACTTATTGCAAGAATTAATAGAAGTATGTTAATAGCAGGGAAACATCATTAGTAGTAGAAACAGATATTACTCAAAGAACTAAAAAATATGAATTTAAAAAAATTGGAAAAAAAAATCTTACAATTCGCCTGCTAACAATTGCAACAAGGTTATCACATAAATAGTAAATATGCTTCCCAATGTGCCATGTTTTTACCTAATACAAGTTGGTGGTGATGAACTGTACTGATTTTTTTCTTGCCACATGGTGCAGCACTAAACAACAAGGGGATGGTCCTTTGTTATGTTTTAATTTAGCTCCTCTGTACATTTGCTGATTGTTCGGTAATTTCCTACCAGTCTAATGGCTATTTTATAAGTTATACTTAGTAAAACTATGTGTTGTGAAGAATTAACATGTGATTTAATATTCCTGTACACACATCTACACACAAAGCATTCTAAAAAATCCCTCAAACATTTACAATATGGCTGCTAAGGCACCAGTCGTCAGTTCAATAACTGTATGAGCAAGCATCTTATTCTCCAACCACAGAGTTGGGTTTGCCGGGCAAGTTTACTCAACCCACCTTATTTTTGAACAGTCAAAAAGCTTGTGCCTCTTATTTCACAGGAGACAATGGCCTGATCCTGTCAATTTGGATCAAATTTGCAAATAGAATTGCACATTTGCAATAGTTATACAACTAAGTCAAATAAGAAACCGCAACGTTAAGAGAGATCATTTTTAAAACTGACACCCAGGGTCCTTACACAATTGGCAAGACTTCAATACATAATATTTTAACATGCAAGATGGATCATTTTTGACAGGAACAAAGTTTTTTTGTCGGAGTGGAGAGAATAAACAACACAAAATACCTTATAAATGACATAACTGACTCAAATGGCCTATTTACAAAACGTAGTTTGAATTGGTCTCACATTTTGATTAAGTCACAAACCCTATGTAAAACATGGGTGTACAGACTGTTGTAATGGTCAATCATCACAATGATCTGCTCTTTCACTTCCTGTGTTGTGAAAAAATATAAATGTTAATTATTAAAAAATAATTTTACAGACATGTCAACAGCAAATGATCTCCGTACATTTTACCCTCATGATTCTTAACTGAACAAGAAACATTCAACAAACTTCAGAGTCCCCAAAATAAGAAAAAAAAACTGTTTCAATAATCTCATTCAATACACTTTCATCAGTAGTTTGCCTTCAAATTTGTATTTTTATGTACACCTTAGCAATTACAGGAACAAGCATTAACTTACTATATACAACATTACACACATACATTTTGGTTGTAAGACTTGAAAGAAAAGGTCCTAAGAAAGAACAGGATTAAAGGAATTTTACAAAATCAATTGAATAACATCCTTTCTACCACTACACTGGTAAGATGGAGAAATACGTATAGATAAGTAGCGACCAGTAATGTGTGCCCTTACAATTGTCAACAAGGTTGGTTTAAGAGAAAATACAAATGTCTCAAAGTTCACACATTAATCCCACATGCTAGTTTTTAAAAACAAAAATTTGAAAAATATATGTATATCAATTGCATTACCAAAGCACCTTAACAGTACAAAATGTCAAATGCAGAAAAAAATCTAATAGTCAGATGGCACTTTTCTAAAATTTAAAGTTAACAATTGCTGTAACATACAAAACACTTTTATACACATCACTGAGCATAATTTTGAGCTGCTAAACATAAGGTCCAATTGACATTTCAAGGTTTAAATTATGAGAAGAATTCACATCATCTTTCACATAACATACCATATTTGAAGATGTATGAAAAGATGGCCTTAGAGCGGTCAGTAATTCACATCCACACTTTCCCACTTTTTTCTTTCACTAACGTTTAATTATTTAAGAATTTTATGACCCATGGTTGGATGAGAATTTGGGAGAGTAAGCTTAACCAAACTCGACTCCAATGGAAAAAAAATCACTTAATTTTGGAATGTGTGGCCTCACATACAGGCTTTAAACACAAAGACAGGCAATGGTCAGTTTTAGGGTCCTCTGCAGATGTCTTGGCATCTCTTTGTCTCATCAAAAACCACCCAGTCTTGTTATCACAGGGGCAGTGGGAGTGCATTTTAATTGAATCAGTAGTTTATAAGCACACATTCCTCTGTCCATGATATATTCTCCAAATCATCAACATAGAAATCCCCCCTATAGCCTCTGTGCAGTGGATGTGGTGTGATGTCACCATGAAATGTCCCAGTAAGTCTTGTGGCACTATCTGGTCAGATTCTTCTCGCACAGCAATGACCTAAGTATTAAAGTATTATTGGGTACACTATTTCATACATTTTAATTCAACTAATATTCATGACATGTAACTTAGTTTCTATAAAAGCAATGAAACAGTATTAACAGGAAAGGGACCACAGGATCACTTTTATCTTTTTTTTTCTACTGAATTCTATTCACTCAAATCCAGCACACTGTCCTTCTCTGCCAAAGTTCTTACCGCGAATCCATAGGTTTCCGTTACTTCTTCTCATTCATGTTGTGGTTGATATGATCATCAATGATATCACCAGCGCCACCTAGAACATCAGGTTCTTCAGAACTCTGCTCCTCGCTCTCACTGCGTTCATCTTTCTCTACCTACCACCACAGAAATGTATACAGATCAAAATATCAAAAAGTCTCTATTACAGTGAAGCAAGTCAACTAAAATGAGCAATACTTAATAAGCAAATCTAATTTAACTGCCCAGGAATTTTAATTAACAAAATAACAACATGATAAAACAAACTATACATAAAATGAAATGAAAATTACTTTTAAAAAATAATGCATGAAGTTAAAAAAACAACACTGGAAGCTTAAATTTCACTTAAAAAAACAGTTGAAAATTATTTCAGCTTTTCATTTTTCATTTTTAATTAAGATTGAAGTTGCAGCAATGGGAATCAAAAATCTTAATTGTCAACAATTTATAGATTGGGCCCTATTATTGTTTCTGTTGTGAGGAACTGTCATTTGTATGTGTTTGTGTGTTGCGTGTGACTGCCTATAGAAAAGACTGGAAGGAAGGGGGGTAAAGGGTTGGCAAAATGGGGGGGGGGGGGGGAGGGTTAGGTTGACAGGGGAGGAAGGGGGTAGAAGGCAAACATAAGGCTTATTATACATGCATACACATACCAAGGTGGTCGTTTTGCAAGCCCCACCCTTCACCTGCATGCACATGCACAAAACATGACCTATAAGTATATATCCATTAATGGCACATGCACTTTTTGTACAGGGGTATGGAGTTTAATTCTGCTGTGTATAGGGTGTTAGTACAGCACCGATGCATGGGGTCGTTATGTTGCTGAAAGCCGTAGCTACAACAAGTCTCTGGAATACTGAACAATTTGAAAGATAACTGCTTTCAAGATACCATGTTTTGGTGGGGTGGGGGGTGTACATTCATTTACAATATTTATTTTGAAACCATAGAATTGCCTCTACTTAATAGTTAAATGCTTTATGGTTTTCAAAATGTTTTCATCTTTGATTTAAAAAAAAAAATATGGGAAAAAATGGACTAATCTCTGTTATTATCTCCTCCACGGATTGCCCCTCCTTGCAACTTGTAAAAAGGTGGTTGGTATGAAAATAGGCAACTGCACTTAATTCAATTTCTTAAATTATATTGCCAAGAACAGAAAAAGGATAAAAGTTCCATAGAAAATAAGCTATTGATATTTAGGTTAAGTCCAGTATATTCTGCATGTTACTTGAATGTTTGAAAGTTATCTATACTTCGCAATACAGATGAAAAGTGGAGTGCTGGGAATTGCTTCACTTCAGTGCCTGTCACAGGGCAGTGTTCAGCTTTATGTAAGTTTTAGCTTTGTTTTATGTGATGGCTCCCTGAAATCCTCCTGAAAATTTAACATTTTCAGTATACTGTTCTCCTGTGGAAATTCCATAAAAAATCAACCAAGCATGATAATAAATCTGAATGCTACAGCATCAAACTGGCCATAAAGTTGTGAAGACAATTCTTCTAAATGGTAACTAACAATAAACATAATAAAACAACATAAAAAGCCCCCGTAATATTTGGCAACTTAAAGTAAAGTCAATTAATGCTAAAGAACCAAATGCAGAGCTAAAAAAAACTTATTTCACCACACAGCTAACAGAAGTGCAGGTTAATACTATATTACCTAGTGCAAGTTAAATAAACAATAAGAAAACACATGCTCTCAGACACACACTGTTAACTATCTGCAGAAACCATCACTGGTGGGAGGAATTGAAACACCACACCCAATTATTATCATTATATACATATATATATATATATTCCAGAGCACCCTGCAGCAAAGCACACACACAACAACAATTCACTGCACTAGACAATAAATGGTAAACAGTTAAATCAATCAACACAAGGAAATATTGAAGTCTGACTGAGTATACATCATATGATATTAGGGATTTGATCTGAACTGCAAAGTCAATTAACTGGCACATAAAACACTGACATAATTTTCTATATCCCCTTCAGGGCTCGATATTAAAGGTGGCTTGCCGGCCTGGGCCACTTAAAACCAATATCAGGCCAGTCAATCACAGGGGTTACTGGCCCCAGGGGCAGGTAAAGTTTAATGTGCCAAATAACCCTTGTAATATCTACCAGACCTCCCTGGGCTGTGGAGAAAAAAAATTAGTGTCAAGCCCTGGTCCTACTGAGATAAAGCAAAATCCCATTATTGGTCTCAAGTTGTAGGTGCCACACATCGTAACCATGGACTGAATGGTTAACATGTAATGGTTAATATCTCATATACTCCAATTATGGGAGGAAGCTAAAAGCTACTCAAACATAATATATTTAAAACATCAACATTCAGCAGGTTTATGAGTGTCAGACATTTAGGAAAGATTGGCACAAGGCTATCATAGGCTAAACACTGCAGAAAGGTTTCTTATGGTTTGATTAGTTAGTAAAAATAGTCACCAAAAGGAACTGGAAAGCCATTCACTGTGAAAGACGTGATGTTTACAAATCACAACCTCACAATACCAGCCATCCACATATATTAGGAAGAAGGAACTGTACAACCTGGTGGGACCTATTTCACCAGACGTTTCACTGCTTAGCTAATGCTGCATAACTTCCACAGCCAATAATATTGAATATAACGAAGGGGACTCTGTGACAGATGGCGGAGTGGTGGACAAACCAAAAAAAAAAAAAAAAAAAAAGCCACCAGGGTATTAAAACTGAATTGTGTGCTTTCAACTGATACAGGTAAGACTTAATAACAGAACAGATCCATTCCCTTACAAACAATTCCTATGGGGTTTCCTTTTGGACTCTAAGGGACTCTTTAGGATTTCTATTGGATTCCAGAGGCGGATCCAGAGATATTTTCTGACAGTCTTCCAAATTATCTTTGTTGATCCATCCTCGATCCGCCCCTGGATTCCTATCCAGGACATGTCCTACAGGATTACTATCTAGGAAATATGTCCTACAGGACTACTATCTGGGATATATGTCCTACAGGATTCCTATCTAGGACACATCTTCTATAGGACCCCCTTGGGATTTCGGACCAATTTTCCCACAAGTCTCCCTGCAGTAAACTTCTGTAAGCGGGGTTGTGAAGCAAACATTTCCCAGGTGGTCGAGTCCCAGGCCCAGCGTGAAGCACGGCGTAAGCACATGTTATTTGACTCTGCAGTTCACATGCAAATGTTACATATTTGGCTGTAACCTAGCAACTGTGGCAGGTGTGACAGTGTGGTTTCTATGGTAACACAGGCCGAATGTTTTTATATGGCAACACCACACTTGAAAATTGTGACTTGGGACATCTGCCAATGATAAGTATGGATTATAAGCTGTAGATGGGGAAAAATGCTCAGAAATAAGTTTAATTATCAACTGTGCTTTCTTGTTTTTAGTGTGATAGACCCAAGCTAGAAGAAATTCCGCTCTCTTGAATTCAATGTTTTTAAGTGATTTGCATGTTGTTGTACTGCTAGCTTTTTTGAATGAAATAAGTAAATAAAAACAAATAAAAGAAACAGATAAAAAAAAAGGTAATAGCCAACAAGCATTGTGACTGTTTCAGTGAAGTAACACACAACTACATTTAAAAAACATAACACTTTATAGTGATGTTGACGCACCTTTCCCAAGGCAAGCGAGTTGTAGATGACTCTACTGATCAGATAAGACCAGTAGAAGTGGAGGAGCTGGAGCGCCACCAGTGCAGCAATAAACAACTGAATGGAGGGGTACCAACCCATTATTACTGCACTCTCAAACACACATGAACGGATTATCCTAGAAGATAGAACAATGGCAAAGGTATTGGAGGATTTTTTCATTAACATTTTCTCTTCCTTTCATATCTGTAAAAATAATTAACGGAAAGGAATTCAGCTTCTGAATCAGTGCTTCTCTTTGAAATATCCTAGAATACAACACAGTGGCAAAGCTAAATGACATCTTGGTTATTTTCTTTTTTTCTTTCAGACTGTTTTGTTGGCCTTTCTGTTTAAAGGGGTACCGTCTTGTCATCAAGGCTCAAAGAGTAACCCTAGAATATAGAATGTTAGCAAAACTTATTGCAGCTTTCAAATTCTGTGACTGTGTTTCCATTTTACTCATCAAAAGATTCTGTTGAGGAATGGGCAAAACCCCTTCTTCCCTGATAGCCAACAAATTATCTGGCACATTTTTCATTCCATGTTGCCAGAAATATTTGTTGTTTTCCTTTTGAATTTTCTAATTGTTGTTTCATCACCTTAATATGTCTGCAATAAATTAAGCACCTTTACATTGGTTATTCACTGGTCTCCACAATGCAAAGCAATGACTGAGGGCAAGTAGTCTATGTAGGCAAACAAAGAATGCGCCATGGAGCCTTAACCTACCAGCTAGAGAAGCAGATGAATTGGCAGTAGCTCATGCACTGGTGTTTTCTGGCATTGTTCCTCTAACAAAAGCTTAAAATAGGATAGAATTTTCTGAGAAACCTCTGCTTTTATTCCTTGAACCATATAACCAATTACCATGTATGTATCTCCTTCCAAAACGAAACATTTACCCATACATATCTGATCAACGGCTCAACACTGACACATCTTGTACTTCTCAATAACAGTTCACAGCTGCTTTATTGGTACAGAAAAATTTGACAATCAAAAGAAATTGTTTACAAAGTGCTGAAACAGTGTGATCTTCTTGCCTCATGCTTAGCAATATCAGTGCTACTTGCTGTTGTTGGGTGTTCCATATTGCTTGTGCAACACATTCTACAGTCACATCTACCACAATATGGCTGTAATCTATACATTGTGCTGGAGCTCACCCAAACACACTCCACTGTCACACCTAACACAGCCGTGGTGTCCACAGGACTCTGATGAGGAAAGTGAGAGGGTGACCAGGTAAATGACATCATTAAATAGGGACATTTCATTTATCATACAGATTGCAAAGCATGCTCTAGTGTTGGCAATGCACTGTCACACACAAAACATTCATATGCCACAAGTACACGTTCTGAGGAGATGACACTGATCTCATCATGAAATTCAGAACAAAAATAAACACATAAAACACATACAATAACAAGACCAAAACAACA